GCTGATTCTCTCGTGTCGATCGCGTTACCTTTATTCGAAGTGGGAAGAAGTAGAGGAAGGTAAATGGACAGAGCTACTGTGGTGACTCAAGGTGCGATCTCCAATGGCTGTATCCTCGAAATCTAATTCTTCGTCGCTATCATCGCTGTCGTCGTCCATGTCCGCCGCGTTGCCTACATTGGGATTTCCTATTTGATTTGCTCCTCCAATTCCGATTCCAATGCCATTTCCATTCCCATTGCCATTTCCACCTGCATTTACATATCCAATCCCCCTCAAACTAACCCACTTCAACTCCCTCAATTCCCTCCTCAACATCCTCACAACCTCTATCCACGAACTTCCCTCCTTCAATTTTACACTCCTCAATCTCACACTCCTCAATGTATATTTATGACGTCTTAACAACCTAATAATTTCCTCGCTTTCCAAATGCCACGCCCCGAACCCTAAATATCTTAAATTATTCCACATAACATGATGAAAGACCGCTTCGAGCGGTACATGAGTGAGAGGTCTATTGGAAGGAAACCCCACATGTAAACCCTGGATTTGATGAGCAGAAGTGAAGAAAGTATTGAAGAGACTAGAAAGTTGATGCATTTTATCATCCGAAGGTTCTTGAATCTGTATTTCCAAACATGTGAGACGATTTGCTAGTGTAGAGATTGTGTGGTGGGAATGTGGGTTAAGAAGTAAGGGGATACGTGGATTGACGAAACGGCTTGAGAAACGTGTTGCGGGGGATTTGGACTCGAGGAAAGCGTAGCCGAGTGCTCGAGCCGAGTGCTCGCAGGCAACTGTCCATTCTAAGGGGTCGAGATCTAGGGAGAGGATGGGATCGCTTATATCGTTATTGTTGTTGTTTTGAGAAAAGGCGATCCAGCGTCTTTCTCGGAGGAAGGATGCCCAATCTATATCTACTTTGTCTTGCACCCTCATGAGACGTATCTGTTGAAGATGGTCGAACAATTGAAAAGCGTGGAGTAAGCTCTGTACATCAATTTTATTATTGATGATGGTGGCTTGCTCCCGGGCTCGTGATAGCACTCGAAAAATGGTAATCTCGTCCTTACGACTACGATCAAGCTTTATGCGAAGCTGCTTGAGCGATGGTCGAGATCTATCGACTTGACGGGTATTGCTAGTGATTTGTTTTAGGTTCACTTGTCTCTCTAGAGTGAGTGTTGTGGCGTGAGTCTCGTCAAATAGGATCTGAAGTTGACTTAGACCTTTGAATGGATTAGTTGAAAGGCACATTGTTGGTAAAAGATCAAAAAATACCTCGGTGATAAAAAACAGGAATCATGTACGAGAATTTCTTGACGTGTTTCGCCAGGTGAGGTCGCTCTTCCACCAAGAACCGTAGCCGGTTAAAACCAGCATCTGAGCATCGGATGGAGACACGGGCAAATTGTCTCCCCAGCAATAGACTGTAGAACTTTTTACATGTACGGCTCTAATAAAGTTTTCATCAGAAATTGATTGATGTTTGGTAACAAATAGGAAATCCCATACAAGAGTTGTGGTAATATTTGTGTCCTCTAACGATTGTGGTGGCATAGACTGGAAACTCTCTACACTTAAAGAGGCTCTATGGTCAATAGGAATCAATTTTCCAGAATTATGAACGAGATATTCAAGTATATTCTCTAATATCTCATTCGAGAGTTTGAATATAGGTGTAAGTTTGGACTCTGGTGTTTGCGATTTACATAGAGAATATGCTCTGTAGAATCTCCTCTGCGTCAAGCAAAAATTGAGCACATGCGGCGATTGAGTCCATGGATTCCAAGATGGTGGCCTTAAATCAAAATCTTGGTAAAGTAACTGCAAAAGGATTCGGTAGAGAATCTCATCTGGAAGTTTCTCGATAGATTTCAAATCTTCCATCTCGAGAAAGACAATGATTGTATACGGCTGGAAATATAGCACTTTCTCTATAATGACAGGTCAGAAAATTTGAGTATTTTAAGTGTAGTGTTACCTCACATAGCGGATGTATAAGAACAGGATATTCTTGAGGTTATTCAGAGAATGGACAAGGATATAAAGTGAAATAATGAACGAATATCGAATAGTTACATCATAAGGGAGTGAGGTTGAGTGCCGGCACTCTATGTATGGGATATGGATTTTTCAAGGGTCGAGCAGCCAGGTTTTATGAAATTCTGACGTGTCGATGCGTCTTGAAGGGATCACTTGAGGGACAGACAGAATGTGTGTGGATGGTGGATGGATCCCTCTCCGATATTTAATAGAATTTTATTCTCATGCAGATATATTGCTTGTTTTGAGTTTGGTTGGTCAGAACGATTTTATGGCTTTCCTGCAGCGGGTTGTGGGTTACCGATCGGTCGGTGCAAATGCAATCATGTGATCTTGGATAAATACCAATCAGGGACGAAAGGAGGAATATTGAAAAGGTTCAAACGGTTCGATATGATATAATTTGACACAAAAAAGGATACAGATGTACTACAAGGATGTACTCAATTCATGGCTGCATGGGAATGACAGCGAATCGTAGCTTAGTGGAGTGATGAGATCGTCTTTTGTGGCTCATGGTTGTGTCTGGCGAACGAATTACGGGTTCAGAGAACGGAAAACAATGGCTTCAATGGCTAGATGGGATAATGCTTCTTAGGGCTCAAGGCAACTGGTAGCTCTGAATGTGGCGTCTACTCCATATCGGATTAGACAAATACTACTCAGATCCAGATAAACTTATCTAGAATCTAAATGTAATAAGGCAGCATTGCAATACCATTAAAACACTGTTAAAAGCGGTATCGAATCTCGATGAATACGATGCGACGAAATTTTCAAAAGTTAACATTAAAATTAAGGGACCTATAAGAAGAAAGCAAAGTTTCACCCGATGGTTAAAGGGTTAGAAAAGGTGGTTACTCTTGTCTGGTCTGCTTATGCCCATGACCTAGTCTCAAGGCGAAACATGGATAAAAAGAGCAAAGAGCGAGACCGAACGGCTTGTTAAATTGTAATAAATAAGAATGGAACTGAATGCAACTCTCCACCATTTTGGTCGAATATTAATGATTATTCAATAAAATAAACCTGGTCGAGTAAAGACGCCAATTTGCGCTTTTTAGTGTGGGTGAATCCTTCCACAATTATTGGAAAAGGGCTTGAATCCAATTGAACCTATGCATTTGCGCAAGAAACGTTATTGGATAACGGGCGCTTAATTGAAGTCCCCGCATAACTTAACTCAATTGCACCACACGAGGAAAGGGATGTTTGAAGGGCCAACGTTCATTCTATATTCTCCGCACCTTTAGGAAATTGTGTCCGTTGGACGTTTCATCCGGATTCTTATGTGGAAATTTCATCATTAGCATGGAATCTGGGCATTGTTGGATGGTGAAAATGGTGCCATAAGGTAGTAGTGGCGGACATCAATACCAGACGCTATTGATATGTTGAGTCAAGAGCGAAAGCTACGTTCCAGACAAAGTAACGCGGATAAAGATGAGACGGCGAACCCTGTCGGATGGTGATTCCTGTGCATAAACTTTGTATTTCTGTAAATGACGTGCATATTGTGACGGCGCAGTTGGCTCAATATTGGGTCGGAGTTCTGCATGGAATACATCACTCTACAACCCTATTCCGGACAATAGCGGTAATATGTCCATCCTCCTTCATATAGGCTCCAGCCAAGGTTGGGTATCTATGCAGAACGAGATCTCGCGGGGTAATGTTTTGATTAGAGTGAAGAGGTAGGTGTGCGATCGGCCATCTGCTTCCTTATTGCAGTACTGCTAATCTTGGAAGCAAATTCGTCCGATGTAGAAGTGGTCTCGAGACCAGCTTGCGCGTCGAGCACATCGACTTCATAGACTTCAAGTGCCTTCCAACCCTTTTCGACTCTTTTATCGTTCACTGCTTGTCCACCTGACCTAGTTTCTCCGGATACAACGAGTGCGGTTACCGTTTCATCAGTGATAGTGGGCCCATAAGGATCTTGAATTTCAACACACTCAATGGTGATGGAGCAAGCATTGAGTTTCGTATGTATAGCCCGACCAGTCGAATTTTCCACAGGAACTGTTTGAATAGCTTCCTCGCCGGAAGTTTGTGCGAAAGACAGAATCGAGGTAAGAAACTCAGCAACATCATTTTGTCGTTCTTCCCAACTCTGCAAATATTCGGAATATTTTTTGTTCTTCAACAATTCATCCCCTGTAATACCGATGATCAATCTCCGGGAAGGGTCCTGAGAACTGGCGGCTGGTTGTAGTAAAAGTGCAGTGGCCGTAAGCAAAAGCTTGTGCCCCGCATGAAGGTGATCAAACGTACCACCTACTGCTACCACAGTATGAGAGGTTGAAGGATTTGGTTGGATGGACTGGGAAATAGTTTTAACCATGCTCACTCCGCCACCGACCATTTGAAGTTCTGCATGTAAAGGAGGACTAATTCTACTTGCGAATTGTAGAAAGTCTCCAAGCAAATTCTGTCCTCCCTCGCCTTCCACTGAGAATATCTTATTCCAATGACGTCGCGTACTTGCAAATAAAGGGAGTTCAACGATGGGCCCACCAGCCAAAACCTCAAGACTTACATCACGTCCAGAGTTCGTCTGATTGAGAAAACGAGTGGAATCGTAATCCAGTAAAACAATGTGGAAATCCACAGCTCCAGGTAACTTGGATGTAATATTGACCCCTTCCTTGGCGCAAATAGAACAAATCAAGCTGTAAACACCAGCCAGTAACTTCTCTGCCTCATTGTAAATTTGGGATCTTGGGGCTTTCAGTCGGCCATGGAAATTTGAAGAAGCGAGCGCGATTGTAAGCTTGGTACTGGATGAGGAAGTTTTGAGACTTGAAAGAACTGCAGATATTGATGAGTAGTAAGCCGCACCGAGTGTAGCAGCTGTAGCTGGTGCGGGGTGTTGAGGGAGTAGAAGTAGGGATTGTGACATGATCGACAACTAGGTATATCGCCAGCACAATAAATTCCCTCGGTGCAGGTGAAGCTGAATTGCTATGATCAATTAATGAGAGAGTTAATATTCCCTTGAGATAGAGGCAATAGGAGCAAAGAGTAAACAAGAACAAGAACAAGAACAAACTTGTAGGAGGGTTGTTCAGATATACGAGAGCAGACAGTACAGAGTACAGTTGGTACAGATAAAAAGTGTTAGGTTGGTCTGGTGGTGTCTGGTGTCTGGTGTCTGGTCGCTGGTCGGTACTCAAGTACAGGCTAATAAGTTTAAACCAGCCTTGTCGGGATGTTTAGGCTCTTTTTCACTCACCAATACCTTAAATCTTTAGCGGTCTAATCAGATCAAAGCCCCACGATCATTATCCTCTGTGCCAATTACACTTCCGGCCTTTTCTATCCCACCTTCTCTTCTCCCACCCATTGGGCAGTCTGCGCATTCAGAGTCAGTCTCACTTCGAGCAGGCGGGAAAAGCAAGCCACTCGTTGCTGACATCGAATTAGATCCCCTGCGCCATGCCATTTGATTCTTTTAATATTCACTCAAATTCTCGCTCTTCTTCATCGCAACAGAATGCGATACCTGGAACTTCAACCACAGGAGGTATATTACAAGCTGCTGCAAATCTAGGTAGTTTTGGTATGCCTTCATTGAATTCTGGCACAGGACAATCAGCACCACCAACAACATTTGGTTTACCCCATCCAAATTCTTCTATGACGACCAATATAAACAATCCCTCAATGAATCAATCCCAACAACACGAAACACCAAGGCGAACTCGACACGCGGACGAGCTGCATTCAAGTATGTCTGCGCAACGAGGTACTTTATCTCCAAGAGATTATGGTGCAAGTGGTCCACGTATAGCCCTAGAGCAAGCCACTCCTGACATATCCCAATATCCTGGTGCTTTACAGCCAGGTAGACCAGGTCCGTTTTCCACAAACACAGCACCTTCATTACCTACAATATCACAAGATCAGTACTCAAACCCCTCGCGAACCACAGGTCTTTCGCATAATCATACTCGATCAAGCCCAGCGGCGGGATTTGACAGCCAAGGTTTTGCAACATTTCAAGCGACCACGCCGGGAGGTTCTGAGCAAAATCAATTCTCCTCTCCGACACAAAAGTATACACCACAGAATTCACAAAGGACTGTATCCAATACCCCGCTAGGCCTTGCAGACATTCGACCACGCGCAGACTCGTCACTTGCCGAAGGCCTACCTGGCGCCAACCCGTATTCATATGATGGTACCAGCGCGACGCCTACCAACAGCAACTATCTCGCACCGTGGGCTCTTTATGCGTTCGATTGGTGTAAATGGCCTGCGCAAAACAACGATGCCGGGAAAGTCGCTATAGGAAGTTATTTAGAGGACGGTCATAACTTTGTATGTTTCTCGGTTTCATTGTAGCTGGGGGATGTATGCGTTTGCCAATACTAATATTTCCTGTCAGATTCAAATTCTCGATTCGCAAATCGTACCTACTCAGTCCGAATCCTATGTGCCTGGTGCCCCAAAATATGGTCTTGAATTTACAAAGATCGCTGAAGCAACACATTCATATCCTGTGACTCGACTCCTATGGGAACCACCTTCATCTCAAAAACAATCTACAGATTTGTTGGCTACTTCTGGTGACCATTTGAGATTGTGGTCCCTCCCATCTGAAACTCCAGTTGCATCTCCCAGCAACACTATCGGGGGACGTTCTTCCAATACTGGCCGAGACCTACCTCCCAGTAAACTTACACCACTAGCCTTACTTTCTAACTCCAAGACACCGGAGCATACCGCTCCTTTGACCTCTTTGGATTGGAACACTGTGTCACCCAGTTTAATTATTACTTCAAGCATAGATACTACATGCACTATATGGGACATTCCCACATTAACGGCCAAAACCCAATTGATTGCACATGACAAAGAAGTCTTCGATGTCAGATTTTGTGCGAATAGTGTGGATGTTTTTGTTAGTTGTGGAGCTGATGGTAGCGTAAGAATGTTTGACCTTCGAAGTCTGGAACATAGTACTATCATTTATGAGCCGACGTCAAAGGATGATAAAGGTACGGATTTCAAACTTGGTTTTAGGGATTTCACTAATATTATACTTGCAGATTTGAGCCCTGGTGGGGGCAGAATAAGTCCAACTTTAGCCCAGCAAACCATGTCCTATGCGCCCCCTCTACTACGACTAGCTGCATCACCACATGATACTCATCTTCTTGCTACTTTCTCACAAGATTCTAACATCATTCGTATTTTGGATGTTCGACAGCCTGGACAAGCATTACTTGAGTTACAAGGTCATTCCGCAGCTATAAATTGCATAGAATGGTCTCCATCTCGGAGGGGCACCCTTGCTTCTGGTGCTGATGATTCTTTAGTTCTTATCTGGGATCTACTAAGCCAAAATACTAGCATTCCTGCGGGGCCTAGCATGAATGGTGCACCGACCCCAGATAATTCCAGAGGGCCTTCTGCTAGTTGGCAATGTGATTATGAAGTGGGAAACATAAGCTGGGCACCTCGAAGCAATTTGAACAATAATGGGAATGGCGACTGGCTGGGAGTAAGCGGAGGTAGGGGTATTTGGGGCGTGAAGCTGTGATGATTTTGATGGGGTTTCAAGGCAGCTTTGAGATATGAGCGTAACTTTATCGCATATCAAAAGCCAGGAGCTTGGTTTTCTGGAGATCGCATCTACAATATCCGAGTATTTATGATATTATACTCAGTGGGGTTTATGTATGATAGGAGTGAGGTGACTGGTTATTTGAAAACGCAAATACGAACAAAGTCACATAGCCGAAACTGAATCGCTCACAAGGGGATTCGAACTTTTCATCAATCAATGGCTCGCTCTCTGATGAGATATTCGAACACGATTGGTTGATATTATAATATTGGCATCTTTTTCGACGCTCCCAACCATTAATACTGCCTTCCTTCACATTTTACGAGCGCTCAGGTCTTCCAATGCTTTTACAACACTTTCCAAACTATTATAGTTATGATCAAATACAATGGGCTTCACGAGACCTGTTTCCAACATCTCATTGGGCCCGTTCCATGGTTGCAATGTCGCTTCTGGAGTCGGGTCACCTGTCTCTCCAAAAACACTGCAATCAAAAACTCCACCCCGAACAATCCATGCTATGGGTGCTTGCTTACGTAGCCAATGATCTTCGAATGCTTTAAAAGAACTTTATTCATAGCTACCTTTTCTAGATTTCTTTCTCTGCCCGCGAACATAACGGTCAGTATGCGCCCTTCATGGCTTAAGCACTTCAGACTCGAATCGACTAGTCCTACCAAGTCGAAAACCAAATCAACACCTTTACCACCCGTTTGCTCCAAGCAGGTCTTCCACCATTTTTGGCTTCCAGAATTGTCCACACATTGATGAGCACCAAATATGCGTGCCACTTCTAGTTTCTCCTTTATACAAGCAGTTGCTATAACTTTTACTTCAAATGCTTTGGTATCTGTACAGGCATAATCTCAGCCCTCCAGCCGTCGCATGCATGAGTACTATCCCCCTCCTCAAATCCTCTCTGGTTGCAAATGCATCATAGCTAACAAGCGGCATAGCACCGAAACTTGCGGAAGCTTGAAATTTCATTCTTCTAGAATGTGGTGTGTTAAAGGATATCATTGATGCAAAGGATCCTCAACGTCATACACGTGATCACTCAGCGAATATCGACTGCCTTTAGACACTGAAATTACGTGGTTGGGAACTCGAGGTAAAGTATGAAGGTGGTATTAGAGAAGATTTGTTATTTTGGTGTTTACCACGAGCCTATGAAAACTTCTCGTGGATGAGTGCTCGTTTTTTTTAGCCAAACCTCGAGTATCAAGTAGAATTATAGTTTCTGTATAGATCAATTCCCAGGGCAAGAAGAGATAAGTGAAATGTGCATGAGATGATATGAGCAACAGGAATGTATAATTCAGAATCACACTCGGCATTCAATCATATAAAAAAAAGCCACAAAACTTACTCCAGCTGTTCAATTTGTCAATACGGCTTTTAACTCTCCAGACGGAAAAGTACCGGAAAGTAGGGTCAAATCATCTGCATGCATATGGATTTGAATAAGTATTTCCTTCTCCTTAGGATAAGGAGTCGGAATGCTTGAGTGAGAGATCTTTAGAATTCTGTTTCACTGGTCCCGCAGTAACAAATGTTCATTTAGCATTTTGATATCAACTTTACAATCTTTTCCATGAGAATTCCCAGGTCCAATTGGCTTAGGTAATTTGATGTGAGCTTGTTCTACGCCTAAATTGGTTAGATCCCTCGACATGTCGGGAAGGCTGAGGCCATTTTAAACAAAGGTTAGCTTGCCTCGCCCGGATTGTACTTTATCCATTGGCCTTGAGATTTATCTCTTTAGAAAAAATCTACAAATACCATTCATTCCTCCTTCGAATGCACATTTTCTTCTTTCAACCTTTGTATTAAAATGTCTACTTCAAACTTACTAAATAATTCCTTTGATGAGAGCGACGAAGAGGACGATAATTTCAATCCCCAACCTGCGGATCTTTCTGACAACGAAGATGAAGACCGCAATACAAGTAGTGCGAAAAGACGAAATGAAACTTCGCGTCATCAAGTAGGAGATGAAGATGGCTCTGAGGATGAATCTGCCCAAGCGAGTGGGCGGAAAACCAACTCAGGCGGTGCTGCTGATGATGAGGAGGAAGATGATGAAGGCGAAGGCGATGATACTGCTGCAGGCGCCCATGATGATGATGATGATGAGGAAGAAGATGAGGAAGAGGAAGAAGATGATGACGAAGAGGAAATTACGGTGAGCATTTCTTAGTTGCACATAAATTCTCACTTACTATTCCCCCACGGCATATCTACCAGAACTTCCCACCTAATGGCAAACTATAGGGACACCGCCGTAAACGTCGCAGAGACCGTCGCAATGTTTTCCTCGATGTTGAAGCCGAAGTGGATGAAGATGAGGATGAAAATGAAGATGACGAGGATGAATTGAACGAAATGAAGGATACTTTCATTGCAGACACACACCCAGATGATATGGCAGACCTTCCAGATGGTGGTGAGACAGATGACAGGCGTCACCGAGATTTGGATAGGAGACGTGAAATGGAGGCAAGTCTTGATGCGGAAAAGCAAGCCGAAATTTTGCGACAACGATATGCGAACAAAGGTCGCTCCTCAAGGGGCAGTGGAGAATCAGCGGTCGTTCCAAAACGTCTCTTACTTCCTAGTGTCGATGATCCTAGTATCTGGGCTGTAAGATGTAAAGAAGGAAAAGAAAGAGAGGCCGTTTTCTCGATCATGAAGCGCATCGAAGAGAGAACTGGTACCAAAGAAGAACTTGCGATTACTTGCGCTTTTGAACGTGGTGGAACGCAATCTACAATGAAAGGCTTCATTTACGTCGAAGCCCAACGACAAGCCGATATTTTGACTGCTATGGATGGCCTTATGAATGTCTATCCTCGAACTAAAATGCAGCTAGTCGAGATTAAGGAAATGCCAGACCTTCTCAGGGTTACGAAAAGTCCAACTGTAGAGGTTGGAGCTTATGTACGACTTAGGCGTCCAGCAAAATATGCTGGTGATCTTGCCCAGGTTATGGAAGTTACCGATACTGGCCTTGAATTACGTGTCAGATATGTACCTCGTCTCGATTATGGTCTTCATGAGGATACCAATGTAGTAGACGGAAAGAGAAAGCGTCCAGTGGCTGGACCGCGCCCGCCCCAACGGCTCTTCAGTGAAGCCGAAGCCAAGAAACGACATGCAAAACATTTGCAAGGCCGACCCGACACGAAGACCTGGAACTACTTTAATGAGGAATATATCAATGGGTATTGCGAGAAGGAGGTCAAAATCCAAGCACTTATCACTAAAGATGTCAATCCAACCCTCGAGGAAGTTACAAGATTTGCCTCGGGTGCTGAAGATGGAACCGAGAACTTGGATCTAAATGCTCTTGCTGCTAGCTTGAAAGCAAGCACGGCCAATGCTTCTTATCTACCAGGCGATGTTATTGAAGTTTACGAGGGTGAACAGAAAGGTGTCGTTGGTAAAGCAGTATCTGTTACAGGTGATATTGTCACGATGGCTGTGTCTGAAGGAGCATTGAAGGGTCAAACCATCGAAATCCCTATCAAGGGTCTACGCAAACGTTTCCGTGAGGGTGATCACGTCAAAGTTATTGGTGGAAGTAGATTTAGGGATGAAGTGGGTATGGTCGTCAAGATAATTGAAGATCGTGTCACTTTGTTGAGTGATCAAGGTAACAATGAGATCACCGTTTTCAGCAAAGATCTTCGAGAGGCGAGCGATTCTGGTGGCAGTGGCGCTTTAGGAAAGTACGAGCTATGGGACTTGGTTCAATTAGATCCATCTACTGTTGGTTGTATTATCAAAGTTGACCGCGAGTCACTTGTCGTTCTTGATCAGAATGGCTCTAACCGGACAGTTATTCCATCTCAAATCTCCAACAAACTTGAAAAGCGAAGAAATGCAGTGGCAACAGATCGTAATGGTGCCGAGATCAAGATGGAGGATGGTGTGAAGGAATTTGGAGGAGAAGGTAGAGCTGGCAAGATTCTACACATCCATCGCGCCTATCTTTTCTTGAAGAGCTCGGAACTGACTGAGAATGCCGGTGTATTCGTTGCGCGAACAACTAGCGTTCAAAGCGTCTCTGCTAAGGGAGGACGCATCGCTGGGAATGCCTCATCTTCACCGGATCTCAGCTCTATGAACCCAGCAATGAAGCTGAATCCGAAAAATAATGGCCAGATGCTTCCACCAAAATCATTTGGCCGTGATAAGTCTATTGGACAGACGGTGACAATTCGAAAAGGTCCATACAAGGGTTTACTCGGCATTGTTAAAGATACCACAGACACCAATGCCAGGGTAGAACTGCACACAAAGAGCAAGGTAATCAGTGTTCCAAAGGACTGTTTGGGATTCAAGGATAAGGTTAGTGGTGCATCGATAGATCCAAGCGGTTTCAGAGGTGGTCCTGGTGGTGGTAGGGGAGGAGGAGCTCCAAGAGGGCGTGGTGGTTTTGGAGGTGCGACCCCTGGTCCAGGTTGGGATGCTGGTGCGGGTGGACGAACACCAATGCCTGGTGGCCTTCCTGAGCGTACTCCAGCTTGGGGGAGAAGTAAGTTAATCGCGTCTTATCTTCTGCAATTTACTAACATTTTTAGCTCCTCACGGTGGGGGCCAAGGTGGACGAACACCTGCCTGGAAGTCTGGAGCCACTGATGGTGGGCGTACACCTGGTTGGGCGAATGATGGATCTCGGACCGTTTATGCAAATGACGGTAGCCGGACAGCCTATGGAGGTGGCAATAGGACTCCTGCTTGGTCATCTGGTGCTAAAACTCCAGCTTATGGCTTATCAGATAATTTTGGATCTAAAACTCCCGCATATGGCGGTAGTGGTAGCTCTGGAGATGCATGGGGCTCAAAGACTCCAGCCTATCAACCAAATAATTCAAACGACAATTGGAACTCTGGCCCATCCAACAACAACAATTGGGGTTCGGCTTACGATGCTCCAACCCCTGGCGGTCCTTTATCGGCACCTACTCCGGCTGCAATGAATGCTCCGACTCCAGGTGGATATTCCGCTCCAACACCAGCTGCCATGAACGCCCCAACGCCCGGAGCTTATTCAGCCCCAACTCCAGCTCCGGGTTATTGGGGTGCTCCAACACCTCAAGCAATGGATGCACCTACACCAGGACAAGGATATTATGCGGGAGCTCCCACACCTGGTGCATATGCAGCGGAGACACCAGCAGGTAATTGGCAGGAGGATGGACCTAGATACGTGGATTAATGGTGATAATCTGCACGGACCGATAGATACACCTGCGTCGGAGGAACTTTATTGGTTTTAAAACGGAGCGATGGAGTTATTTTTGTTCTCATTTCCTTTTCTGAGCTTGGTTCCTTTATTTGAGATGTTTTAACAGAATGGTCACAATGGGAGCCGTTTTTTTTTGTGGGTAGAAAAGTGCATGCACGCATGCGAGATATCAAAAATCGCAATCTAAAGCACAATTGTTCATCAAAAGGTCATCCACTTACTATCCCGTCTCTGAAATTCTTCTTCTCACTACCATTACAAGTATTTGAACTCCATTCCTCTGAATTTTCAACAGTAAACTCCCACTCCGAGCCATAATCGATTATCCACGTAATCTCCTAATCCCCATCATTTAACTCCTGGTGCCTCCAAGAGGCGGGAATTAGAGGAAAATCCCTGGAAAATCCCTGGGAAATAACGATTGCCGCGTGTTTTGTGCTTGCTAGGGTTGAAGTGGCGGGATTTGGCTATGTGGGTTTGGAGGCTGGTGGTTGCTGGTGTTGGATTGGTGGGAAGGAGTTAGGGGTCATAATGGGTCGATGGATGTGGTAAAGTGGTGAGGTGATTGGAACGGAGGAGGTGGTCAACCTTGATAGTCAGATGGATGTGGATAGAGTTATGATATAGTAGGGATTTGTAATTGGGATGGGATTACAAGAGTGGATATGAGTATGTATGTATCTTTGTCAAATGATAGGTTTGATGTCTTAAGTCTTTTAATAGTAGTCTTTCTAAATCGAGGGTCTATCAAAAAGTTACAGACCCTTTACTTCCATCCACCCGGAATGCTCAACTTCTCGATAGGTAGGTATCCAATTTGATTACAAACGTCTAGATGAAGCTATTCCCAAAAAATGCATTTAAGCCGTGTGTGCGTGTTTCTCTCATTCTTGTGTCAAGTACATCACTGGAAAAGCAGGGAAGAAATCCTAATTCGGTAAAAATGATAGAAAAGGATCTCAAAAAGACCTCTTTCTGTCAAGAAGAAGCGCAAAGGTAGGTAGTATAAAATTGTTGCTTTAGAATAAGGTTCAGTGGTCAACGTTGCGTTACGAATTAGCGAGTCCTAGGATGTCACTGGACTGGATGATCCCCATGTTTATCTGGGTACTTATCGGTAGTTAAACTTATTAACCCTAAGTCATTGCAGATATACTTTTGATTTAGTCTCCATAGGTATCCCGAGTACATAATCTTATCTCGTCGCATCTGAAACTACTGTGCGTGTATCAACGTAGCATCCTTCACAGATCATGAATGACGAATCGATCTAGATACAAGGTCGGGAAAGCTTAATGTCGAAAGTGGGAGTATATACCGACATTCTAGTTCCATGGTACAAATGTGTAGTGCTCTTATGCTTCAGGTCCCATCTACCGTCTTTGTACTCCTCGTATCTCGTATCCGTCAATATTGTGCCTTCCTATTTCTTCATAGTACTATCAAAGTTACTATCTATCATTATGCACTCCTGCATCCCAGTCATGCCACGAGGGAACAATATCACGTTTCTCCACGGTACTGTAAGCACCTTCCGGAAGCGCTGGGGATTTGCTAGTAAGGGTGGCACGGTGAAGATTTAAGTTACTGGGTTACTGGGTATGACAAAGGATGGAAGAGGAATAGTTCGCGAAGAGCAAAAGAATGAGGAAGGACGGCGACATCGGAGTTTCCTGTTCTAAATGAAAAAAATTGGTTGAGAGATCTATTTGGAAATGTTTCCCGCGGTGCTACGCATTAGGTGGTAGAAGGGGGATTGAATTGGGACATGAGTGGCATGATTATCGTTCTGTATGGTGTGCCGATACCAATACAAACGAGATCTGCGAGTGATGATCGAGAGGAGATTGCAAAACTTGCTGATATACAAACATACCGAGTAGCAATCTTACTAGGAGTGGATGTTTGATGCTGAAAAGAAAACGTGGGATGGCAGTTGTGATTTTAGTCGTCAATATGATTGTGACAGTGATTTAAGGCTTGAGAGGGGGAATTGGCAATATTGGCAATTGATAGCTTATAGGAAATCGATAATTCCATTCCACTTCCAAGCAATTCATTCCAAACCGTTTGTGCTGTGAACGAATGAGATGCCAGAGAAAGTTGTAACCTGGAAGTCTTGTCATCTTCTTGTCACTTCTCTCTCGTTATCACGGGAAGACACACTGATGCTCCGTACATACCAACCGTTCACCGATATGACATGAATATTAACATTTTTGCGGGGAGTTAGGTATTAACCTTGAATTGACAAAGTCGTAATTTGAGCTAATTATCTGGTATGTACTCCGTCAGACTAGCTATTATCATTCTCGTCTCCCGGATGTATTTGGTTCAATTTAAACTTTCTGCTACCTACCTTCTTGTATATAATTACCTATTTTACTCCTTTATCAGCTCTCATTGTTACCTCGCTTGAGTCTCGAGATAATTAAGGTTTAGTAATCTGCAGGTTGGAGGTGCTTGATTGAGGGCTTCTTTTGTCATCGTCAGCTCCAAGAAATTTCAATTCGTAATTCGTAATTCGTCATTCATCGATTGATTCAGAAACCGCTGTGCATACTCCGTACAGGACCGGTGAACTAAGTCCTAGGTACTGTACCTTTTTCTTACATTTGTTGATGTTTCTACCAATTTCTACTATATACGGAGTACTTGGTACAACACATACATTGCGTACGCTACATACAACTACGTATACATACATTATATACATTACCTATATACAATAATAATCCTTTTCTTCCCTCATAATTTCAACTCATCTCGCTCATCTCACTCATCTCATTCATACATCTCTAAATACTGTAGCTCTTATACCTTGGTAGGTAGACTATCTATCCTATCTTGCTTGCTCCCCTGCCACCCTGTTCCCTTGGCTGCCGTCTCAAGTCTCAACCTATGAAATCCGCCAAATTATTTTAGATCGCATAAATTAAGCTTTCTCATCTAGTGCATGGAAATTGAAACAGTAACGGACGAATATCCCGACATCAATCTGAAATAGGAAGCTCATCTCATCAACCCATTAATATTCATACAAACAATACACACCACTTCCGCCCGTGATTATACTGAGTAAGTGACGGTCAGTCCAACCCAAGAAACTTGATCATTTCTAATTGATCATTTAGCCTCTGCTTTCCTAAATCTATCATAGTTCACCAAGAGATAGGAATGCTTTAATGCGTGCGAGCATTACCAAATGATCAGTCAGGATATCATCATCGAATAAGAGTCAGACGTCAAGAAAAACATTTTCAAAAGCACATTTGACATCTCATCGTATCCAACCATATCTCCGGGCACAATCTCCAAGATTGCAACGAGTCTATTTTGGTGTGGTCATAAGGACATAAACCTTCCTCTTTTCTCTTTAAAATCCCATTCCACCTTCCAAGTTAGAGGTCCTGCTCGATAAAGAAGAGCAAACGAGTTTCCCTTTCTTTTAACGAAGAGTCGATCAAATGGAGAACAGCGACAAATATTTGCATGGTCGATTGGATCCTGGTATCGAATCGACTTTGCAGTTGGTCGAGGGAGTAGAAAGTCCAGATATGAGTAAATTCTTTTCCTCCCAGGAAGTACCGTCCCCCAAATCATCTCAACCAAAACGTGCTGTATTCCAGGGTATGTAGTTTTCTCTGTTGCGTTGTACTTGCTTGGTGTTCTTGGCTTTCGAGCTGCCTCTTTCCTTTGAGCGAAATGACAAGGTCTTCCAAAGGTCTTCCAATGAAGCATGGATCGTCATGACGGTCCCAATTTTGAAGAATGATAGCTGATAGTGATGCTCCCCAACTCTAGCTATCAGATCTTCCAATGACACTCAACTCAACTTAACTCACCTTCCGGTTGAGCTTCTTCGTCAAATTGCTTCATATCTTTCGCCTTGCGACTTGACGAAATTAGGCAAATCATGTAAAACATTGTTTGAAGTGGCAAAAACTGATTCCCTCTGGCGACGCCTCGTACAAGAGAACGTTCCCGGTGTCAACCTTGATTCTCCTGCACCATGTCAGTCTTTTAAGGAGCTTTATAAATCTCATGATCCTCATTGGTTCCTTACGAAGAACAAGTTATGGTTCAGCGATTCTCGGAATTACGGACAAATATTGATTTCCAAGTACCACCCCGAGACTGGTTCTATCGGATTATACAGACTCATAACAGAAAAGTTACCGCCTCATTTTTTTGCGTGGAAGGACGATATCTCAGTCATCGTTCATTGTTTTGAACCTAGGGTATATTTGTCTCAGTATTGTCTGCGATTAGATGTCAATTCTTATTCTCATCGTTCCCTATCGGATCTGGGCGAGGCTGAGCGCAGGCTCAAGGGTGAGCTACCTTTGGTGAGGAGTGATGATCCTGGCTCTCGCGCCTTTACAAATTTCATACTGGCAAAATCGTTGGTAGGTAGAAACCTCGCCAACGCACCGCAGGAGGGTAAATGGCCACCACCGAATGTACCAGCAAAATCCCGAGTAGATCTTTCTGCCGTCTGTGATCAGTCTTCTACAACTACATGGGGTCGACCCGAAGATCGTTCTCAAATCAATGAGCAATCTTTTCGAACTAGATTCTGGTTGGAGATGAATGGTCAGGTACGAATGGGAGAAGATATCCAAACATGGTCAACTCTTGACTTTGGATTATACACACCGACAGAGGATAAGCCTTTCAGAGGTATTTTTGTAAGTTTATATAAGTTTCATATTCATTTTCTCTGTTCATGTTGACCCTGGACTTTCACATCAATGCTCGCAACAATCGATCGGGAAGTTTGCCTACTTCATTAAATCTTTCAATATCCTATTTAATCCCGCAGCTTTCAACGCCTTTTCTATGCCTTTATCCATCTACATTTTATAACCATTTATCATGTCTTATCAACAAGAAATAGGCCAGGGTCTCTAACACCCCGAAGTTCCCCAAGAACGAGAGATTCTTGATACTCAAACTTATTTCATATTTCGATTTGTTCTAGGGCACTAAATCCGTCTAGATCAAATCTATCTAAAATGATTCAAGTAGTATCAAGAATTCATAGTTCACGAATGTTGAAAGCTTCAATTCCAGCTATTCACACGCTAGGTTTAGCAAAATTATCATCAAAGAAGCATCCCTAATCATCTGCTGACTCAAATCACAATTCTAGGTCGGGGATTATTCAGGTCATGGTTGTGAATATTTACTCCTAGACCAACGAGATGGATTTCAGAAAAATGACGAACCAAATATATTGGAACGAAAAGACGAAACACCTGAAGTATGGGAAGCGAAGAAAAGACATGCAAAGATTTACAAAGGCTCTCTGTGCGCTATTAAATTGACTGGAGATCCAAACATACCTCGAGGTCAAATTTCATGGATCGCCGATGATATTAGTGACAATGGATTAGTTCGTCATGGGGAGCAAGCATGGCCTGGTGCAAGAATTGTAAAGAGCCGTGGTCAAATTGCTAATCAAGGATATCGAAACTGTATGTATTCCTTCTTCAAGAATTATTCCATAAGGCCTCATACTGACTGATGGCAGCTAAATTCATCGAAACGGAACTCATAATGATTTCTCATGATGTACTGGCACAACACTGGTTACCGTTCGGACATATATCGTTCTTTCACCGAGTTAACATTGATGATTTTATTAAACCAGGAATGGGGGAGACCAAAGTTTGAGAATAAATGAGAGGAGGGAGGAGATTTGAACAATTTGGAAGATGGATGATGGAAGCAGATGATTTTATTGATCAATAATACCTACATGGACATGTAATGGACGGAAATCGCACACCAAATTGAACATTTAGTACGGGCCCGAATGAAGTCTGAAAGAGAGTATTTGATAGCCAAATCTGGATGGACATGAAAGAGAGCTATAATCTGGGAAGAGATTTATCATCAGAAAATCAGGGAGAGTGAAGAATGTTGATTGACAGGTTTGATTTGATTGATCAAAGGTACCGGCAGGAGTTTTAACATGATGGATGGATGCATGTAGGATGGATGGGATGGGAGGATGGTAGGTTGGGATGGGTATTTTATCTATCTATTTTAGGTTTATTCCATTTTTATTTTATTTTTGAGTATACCTAGTTGATACTTAGCTTTTTTATATAAGTTTGTTCTATTATAATCAGTCACTCAATTATATATGCCTACACTACAGAAGTATAATCATAATTCCTTTCTTCCCTTCTTTTGTTTCTTTGTTTCTAGAACTACAGAGTAAAACACTCTTCTTTATCTATTCCCCACACCCACATGATACTTAGCACCCCACATATATCCCAACAATTCCCCAACCACAAATAATCACCCCACTCCATTGTCTCATTACTCATTTCTTATTACTCATCACCCTTACCTAGGTATCAACCATTCCCCATCTCGCATGAACAAAGACCTAGTGTAAAACTGAACTGCCCAATTTATAAATCAACACAAATCAGGATCCGTGGTGTAGTGGTTATCACGTCCGCCTTACAATCTCAATCCTATTATGATAGGATTGATTCTATCGCGGCAGGTCCCCGGTTCGACCCCGGGCGGATTCAATTTTTTTGTTTTTGTTTCGAGGATGTTTTTGGGGGATTGTGGTTGGTTGGTTGGTGCGATGTGATGTGATTTTTTTTTTGGGTTTGTTAGGGATGGAATTAGGTGTGGTGTGTGTTTTGCGGAGGTGATGGATGCGTGGATTTTAGTAGTTTGTTTGGACTGGAAAATCGGATGGATGGTCTTGTGGGCTTGTTTTGACGGATGGACTTTGAGACGGGGGATTGGATTTGATTGGTAGGTGTCTTGGGGGAGGTAGTTAGGTAGTGCTAGTGGTGCTTTTTATATGGGTTAAGAGATTATATTGGATGCAGAATTTTCTATTCATTTATATGGTTTGTTTGGGCTAGGTATTCAAATGCATTTGCATGTTCTAAGGGTTTTCGAGTATTCAGTCTGGGTTTCTTGTAATCTTGTAAAATCATTTGGTAAGGCCACCACCACCCTCAGCTTTTATTTTCGAACTGTAGTTCTGACTGACTCTTGGATACGATCCCTTAATGGGAGTAGTGAAATACTCTATATATATAAATGGTTTCTCACTTGTATCCATTGGAAAGTTTCAATCCGGAAGCCAAGTCTTGAAACTCGTCTTCTCTTTTCTTCTCTTTTTTTAAATCTATTTGTTAATTAATACCTGTTATTGTCCATCTTGATTTGGAATATGATATGGATAAGTGTCTACTTCCGAGAGCAACATATATATCCTTTCTTAGGGTAGTTTACTCGTAATCCCCCGCCAATATTTCACTTCCAACTCTTTGTTCTATGTACTTTCTCTCCTGGTTTCATGAGTTTGCCATCATCATCTATTTGATCCGCGCTTCTGCGGATACCTCGATCGGGTAGAAGCATTGAAACGGTACGTACTAGTGATTGATGCTAGTAGTGGTATTCAAGCCAGCTGTTCAATTCCCTTCCTCGATTAGATCAACCCATATGTCGGGATTCTACTATATGCACGTAAAACATTTTTGAGGCGACTTCATATTTTCTCACTAGTTCACGATGAGCCGGTATTAACCTGTTTTCAATGCGACAGTTTACCGTACAGAGTGTAATGTCCCTCGTAGACCTGATCCTCCGATGTCATCCAATTCGCTGTTCCCCACAAGTGTCCTTAATTATCACAGGCCCAGTATACACTCCTTTTGGTGAAAATGAGGGGTCCGTAGAACAAGATTTCGTTCTTGATATTCCTTTGCTCGTGTATAATGGTGTGTGCATTTGATGCAGTACTACCTTTTGATCAGAACAGAAGTCCCAAAGACATCTTCCTTTGCCATGAGGTAAATACTCTTAACCATTAGCATTTCGTGTTTTATGGTATTGATCAAAAGTAGACCCTAATTAAGGGAGCTAGAATTACTTCGTATGTTTACCGTTCTTCAGATGTTGAGAGTCTCGTTTTTTATCATTTGCCTAATGAATATCTGTGCATGATGCTCTTCCTATATAAACTTGAGGCTTCCAGGAGGTCCTTTCAGGAAGAAATTGAAATCCGTTAGGGTAAACCATGATTACTCCGGACACCTTGAACCCATTCTGGGAGGCAAATTAGAAGATGGCTTCACCAAGCAAAGCGGAACAGCTAGAGCCTACACTGGAGCTTCCAACGACGGGCAGCGAATCCGCTGTGAAAGACTCTTCAGGCAGTGAGATAGATGAGAAGGAGATAAAGAAGTGGTATTTGAACACATACGAACGTGGCTCGAAAAGTCCTATGGAGGAGTCTCTCACAGCACATTGGGATCTCCCAGTCAGCGATACAGATGTGAAAAAGATGAAAATCGGGCTTAGATCTCGTAACACGGACGACAGGTGGGTCATGCTGATGGAAGATCCGGATGAAAATGGTAACATATCTCTCTACATCCTTCGAAACTGGTTATAGGAGAATTGCTACGTACTTCACATTATTCCGAAACCAATTTACGATGATGATGGGTGCAAAGATTCAAAGCATCATCTGGGAAGGGAATAAATCGTGGTTGCAATGCAACGCAGAGCGAGCCAAGCAGGAAGCCATGATTTTATCCAGAATATTCCTCCGCTGCGAATTTGACACACTGCTATACTACCCGTCGTCGGTGTTAGGAGATTCTACTGCCTATGAGAAGCTGGACGCGGAATAGGTTACTACTCCCCCCCAAAAGGCTTATCCAGCAAGTGTGGAAGAATTCTATCATATCAAAGTTGTTTCCAGTATCTTCAGCCAAGATAGTAGCCGAGACGAGAGATCTTTGCTTCGCTCCTCGAATGCAACAGTCGTTTCTGCTTCTTCAAACAAAGAAGTATGTGAGTTTATTGTATAAGAGTATGTGTTTCTTAAGCGTATGAAAATAATCAACCCCGATGATGGAAGTAAACTAAAGCTAAAGAGAGAAGATCGTATCTGAGAACCTGGCAACTCACTGAGCACCTGATCGGGTTCCAGCATCCTGATGTGATCTTCCGGCCCACTCATGATCACCCTTCTCTGGTGGTATTTTCCGCAACAAATATGAAAGTACATACCTTGGAATGTGAATAACCTGAGTAGGCTAGGGTTTGAATGGTATTATACCACGACCATCTTACCGATAAAGAATGGAATTGCCTAGAGTTTAGGAGGGAAATCAAGTGCTCTATAACCTGCAGGCTTGCACATGCGTAGATCACAGCGGTTTAAATTAGAAGTAGCAAATTTCCTGAAGCAGCTAAAGAGCTTGCATATCTAGATCTTTTGCCTTTGTTCTCCATAGACAACCGGACTCGGACAGACCTGAGGAATTTATAAATTATGTGAGAATTCCGCTCTTCTCTCGCTCGCTTCTGCATGCTTCCTCTCAAGTGAAGAAGAATCGGTGGGAAAGTCGTCCAAATTTCCTAGGAAAATATTTTTGTTAGGTGGCAATTAATATATTCTCATCTTATCTATGTCAAAGTCGCATGTTTCGATGGATGACTGCAATCCAGTCACTTTATCTTATCTCTTGTTTTTCTAACATCGGTTTCATTTTTCTTTTACTTTTTGAGATTACCAGATGGGATACTCGAGTAGATATTCAAGCGTTTACTTCAATTCAGATTTCTATAACTTACCTTTATTTGTGCACAAATTTAAAGAGTGTTTAGCGTTTGCAGCAGTTCACATTTTTAAAACTCATATTCACATATTTACACATATTCACATATTTACACATATTCACACACATAACTAGGCACATTGTTTTTAAGGAAAATACTCTTGTATGACTTAAATTCTATGAAATCTTACTAATACGATATTGATTGTACCAGCAAATCTAATAAATACTTCTTTGCTCAATTTTTCAAATCTGATGCGCAGTATGGGGCAGAGGGGTATAAATCTCCATCTGGAAAACGCCCTTGTTACTCGTATTCTAAAAAAGAAAATCCAAGTAAATCAGTCCAGCCAATCAAAAATCTAATATAAATCTTTTCTCAACTCCTCGATTCTCTTATGACAAAGTGGGTAAGAGACACGTGGTGCTTGTTGAATAGACCCCTCATCACGAAAAATATCCTCAATCTCAAACATGTCTTCATCGTCGAGCTGGACTCCGCCTCTCAGGGAAAATCCCATGGGCTCATAGTGATATTCAGATGATCGAGCTGAGACTTCTGAAAAACTGGAAATGCTCTCCCAGTCTGAGTCTGAGTCGCTGTCTTCTTTTGATACCTCTTCTGATACCTTTTCTACAGCTTCTTCTACAGCTTCTTCTACAGCCTCTTCTGATACCTTTTCTACAGCATCATCAGTCCTATTCGTGATTGATATATTAGTCATCGAAATGCTAACCGCTTTCCCAAGAGTGTACATTTCAGTTGTATCATCCGGCAAACTTGTCATTGACATACTAACCGCTTTCCCAAGAATGTACATTTTAGACGTATCATCTCCGTCTCCAAACTCCTCATCATCACCATACTCCGAATCCGAGTACGTGAACGAGTTTGATTGTGGGAGAGAACCTAAATCCGGAGGTGAAGGTACATCTGGGATTTCATCTAACGCTTCCAAAAAAGAAATCATATCCTTCTCAACATCTTTCTTGTTGTTACATGTCTCGCATGGTGATTCCCCTACAATTATATTATCGTAATCTCGGTAGTTATCGCAAAATTGAGGATTTCCGCGAATTGCGGCCATGGTTACACATAGGATATCTACAGAGGTGATCTTCTTCCAGGCATCGCACGTTGGGCATCGCTCAAAGGTGCAGATCCAGTTACACATGATGTATTATGTATTTGCTGGGTTGCTCTGAAGGTTTTGAAAGGTCAATCGTGGGATTAATGCGTAAGGGTTTGGGAATGTGGTGCTCGTCATATGAATACTCGGGGGATATTGTTGTTTTGCTTTTGTTTCTTTCCTGTTCTTCATTTATCTACTCTACTCTACTGCCTTGGAATAAGGCAGAGGATTTGAATATACAAATTCGAAATCTTCAACCTACTTGATCTACCTAGTTAGTGTGTAATTGTAAATCCTTTGTAAAAACTAAAAATAAAGCCATTGTTCTTAACAACGAAACAGTATAAAAGAATGGCAGAATGACCTTTGAGTAACAATTTGCCCTTATATAAATCTGCATCACTTTTTTCGTTTCCTTTGTAATTCCAAACCTACCTTTGATATCCTTGTTCTCTTTGTAAACATTCTAATACAAAACCTGACCAGAGAACAAGAGTATTGTTCACATTCAGACCAAATCTCACAATAAACTCAACACATACCAACACAGCCTGAAACCCAAACAAAAGTCACCCTACCAAATTAAATCATCATCATCACCAACTCCATAACCTAAAACACCCCACCTCAGTCCATCCGCTCACACACCACCCACCATGTGCACATCAACCACCACCCACTACGACTGCGCCCACACAACGCACCACACCCGGCGCTGCACCAAATTCCTCCTCTCCCTCCAAAACACCAAACACCAGGCCCCAAAAACAACATCAACATCAACATCAACATCCCACTGCGGAAAATTCTGCAGTCTTAAAAATGACACCACAATGTGGAGTTTAAATAAATGCGCACGATGTACACGAGTTGAAAAGGTAAAGAATGAAAGTAATGGTAATGGTAAGCAAACGAGAAGAATCCGAGAGACGAGACAGAGTAAGATATATGAGGAACCGGAAGGAGGGTGGAAAGTTGTGGATTGGAGTGAAGGGAGGAGGGTTGGGAGCTCGAGGGCGTGGGTGGAAAGTCCTGTTTGTAGTCCTAGCATGAGGAGGGGGGGTTTGGATATTTTTTTTTGTGGTGCGGGGAGTTAATAATGTTGGGTTGAAGTTACTGGCTAACTAACTGACTAACTGGGTTTAGATTTTCTAGCTAGTTCGAGAGAGGAGGCGTTAATCTCGGAATTTGATAATAATTGATCTGTCTTAAGTCTTTATGAATACTCACTTCTGCGTCGTATATATTCCTGAAAATGAAATTGATCATTACCTACATTACCATGGCACCAGAGTGTGCAATTTAAACTCGGATCGTGACCTCAATAATGCGGTAAAGATACTTGTTGTTCGAAGAAAGATGTGTTTTCGGACAAAAAGTTCTTATTTGACATTTTCAAAGTAGAAGCAAATCAATCTGTTGGACTTCAGCCAAGAAAGTTCCTTTACCCGAGTTGATGGTGAGTTTAGATCTTGGTTGGTTGGTTGATTGATAAGATTGTGAGTCAGTGATTGATTGATATATAGTTTTTGGAAATACTTATAGGAAATATATAAATGTTGATTTCTTTATAGAGTATCCCAAAATAGTAGAAAGGAATTAGAATTAGAATTTGAGTATACAAACTAGGATCTCTTTAGTGCGTCCAATACAGCAGTCTGTACTTTATATATATGAACAGTCTATTTGATATAAGATCTTACTTTGAGTCAGTCTCAACATCCGAGGTGAACGAAAGGAACAAGATTTAAGCGGCCAGAACGATAAAACTTTTCCCGAGTCGAGATTATATCATTCTGATTCTGATACTGATAGAAGAAAAATCAGAATATCACCTACAATCATAGAAGAGCTGCAAGTCGTCAGCAGTCAAAATTCTAGTCTCGTTACTCGTAGAAGATCACAACTGTTGAGGCCCAATAGAACCCCCCACCAAACCCCATGTTCTGCCAAAGCGGTAAGATCAAGCAAGGCACAAACGAGTACGGATAAATAGCATCAGAGACATCAAACCAAAAATCAAACCAAACCGCATCATATATAAAATCTTACTTTGCCATAGAATACCTCCAGATAAAAACGATAAAAACTTTTATCTTATCTTATCTGTATTCACCACTCGATATCCGAAATAAAAATAAAAATCAATCCAGCTTTGGATAAAATGGAAAACGATACCTTTCCAGCTGGTGAGTCATAATTGCCATCTAAATCCCCAATCCTCAATCCGCGTTCATATTCAGCTTCATCAACCTCGATTTGAAGTTCTTGTTAGATAGCCCAAGAAGATATAGATTGCCAAAAAAAAAAAAAAAAAAACTCAAATAAAAAATATCCAAATTTCTTCACCTCGCAAAAAACAAATAGGAAACAAATCCCCAAACAAAACCAAAACGAAATCACCAAACTAATCGCACCCAGGTATCCTCGGCAACTACTACTCCACCCGTCACGAAAAAGGTGTATACCGTTCCTGCGGCGTAACTTCCCACTACAACTACACGCCCCACAACTTCAATACCATCACTAGCAAAGCCATCGAAGAATTGACTTCGCACCTCCAACGTGCTTTATGGAAAACAGTAGAAAAACATCCATCACTATGTTACAGTATCTTACCCTCTTCAAAACCCACGCATCTAACTGCAGGTTTCAAGAGACTTGCCCAAATATCCTGGGATGATATTGTATCAATATCCTCTTTGGACGGATTTCCCAATGCAGAAGTGCAGATACAATCTGAGGAAAAACGTGTTTGTGAGGAGATAGGGCGCGCTCACGAGCAGCTTTTCCAAGATCCCGAAACGAAACCTGCTTGGAAGATTCGTGTGCTTGTGCATGAGATTGAAGATGGGTCGTATAGAGTGTATATACTTTTTATTGCGCACCATGCTATTGCCGATGGATTAAGCTGTGCTGCTTTTCAAAGGACTTTGCATGAGGAATTGTCAGAGACTTCTGTGGAGACGCTTGAGATGAGCGATGTGCAGTGGCCGTATATCGTACCGAAAACTGTGGGAAGACCAACAGCTATTGAGGATGCTATGGATATCAGTCCTCCGGGATACGAATCACTTGAAACAAATCCACAAAGCGATTCGGACGAGAAAGAAGAGCAAATATGGTCAGGAAATTTCCCATGTATGCCCACAATCGAATCATACAAATCTCTTGCCCTTCTCGTTACCGTTCCCCCAGAACGAGTCCAACGACTTTTAAATACGAGTCGCCGTTTGAAAATTACTGTCACTGGTTATTTGCATGGTTTAATCGTCAGCTACCTTGCGCGTGCAACAGTTACAAAAGACCAACTTGGCCTTAAAGGGTGTACGCCTTACTCGCTGCGTAAATTTAGCAAACTTCCTGTTAGTGAAATAGCGAACCATGTTTCGACTATAGTAACAAAGTGGGATGCCGGTTTATTGGATCGTATACGTCATGTGAGAGAGGAGTCTATCGAAGAGGAAGAATTGATTGGTGCGATTGGAAGTCAAGTTTGCCAGGAGATCTCAACAGAGCTGAAAAGAGTCGAAGCTGGAGGAGTCTCACAAATAAGAGATGTTGAAAATATAGCCGATTTAGAGTCTTATTGTCGCGAGGGATTGTCAGCAGGAAGGTCTGAAACTTATGAGATATCTAACCTTGGAGTGGTTAGGATGAACCAAGCTTCAAGAAAAAGCTCGTTAAGACTCGATGGACTCATATTCTCCCAATGTGGAATGGTGTTCGGTGCCCCTATTGGATGCAATGTTGTAAGTCTAGAAAGTGGACCATTGATAATTAGTTTAACATGGCAGAAGGGGGGCGTGGAGGATGAAGTAATGGAGGGACTGCAACAGTTTTTGAAGAGTAGATTGGGTGCATAGACTGCTGGCTGGTTAAGAATTTGACTAAACGAGAGAGGTGCTAGAATTAAAAGCTAGAATCGAAAGCTAGAATTTCATATGCTTTCAATGCTCCCAACCAATTTGAACAATAATTCGAGAAAAAAATGAAAAGGGTGCTTTCAAGATGATCAAATGAAACTAACGTTTTCATCCAGTGTAACATTCATAAGGAGAAAGTTACCTAAAAAGTTTGACGGGCAAGCAATATCTTCGCGAATGTTATGGATATAAATATATCAGCCTCCTTGTCGCTTAGGTAGTGTCTGTTGTAAAAGAGAATTGGGACCCGAAGTTCCACTTAATATAAAGAAAGAGCAATGCCATAAAATTGCTATGGAGAGCATTGCCACAGCCAAGTCATCATCCTCTCAGTTGTAAAAACAAGGGTTCAACAGCCTGGATTGCAGCCTAAAATCAGAGGTATTCAATTACTAATTCGACTGAAATATCTCAAGCTGTTTCGAACACCGGATTTATTCTGAATAATGGCTTGGGTCCAGACATTGCATTGCTTTCAAACATTCAGAGCTCATGCGTCCGGATTATTGGACATCTGCCGTAGAAGACCTGATGCTGAATGGCCATCATACCTATATATGCAGCTAGCATTGTCTAGCCGCATCAACGGCACATTAAAATCTACACCTTTCGATTTGTTGATACTCAAGATGTAGACAAAGAAGTAGAGTCAGAAGGACGTACTCAGTCGCACAGCACACGCAGCTATTCCCTCATGGCTCCAAGAAGAAATTTGCTTGACAGAGAGGAATAGCTACTGCTCAACTGTGTCTTAATCTGAGGCATTGTAGTCACCTCACAATTGCGACCTGAAAATCGACATTCAACTGTTGATTCAAAAAACAGAGTAACACAAAATTCAATACTATGTATCTCTTCCTTTCTTCTCCTAACCGTAGGCCAATATCATTACTTGCATCAAACATTCTCAGATCTTTACCCGACCAAGATCTAATAACCGGATCGTGGAGCTGAAACTCCGTGGAAACTCATCCACCGACTCCACGCACCGCAGCGGCGGCACAGAGACAGGGGACATGCCAAAGGTGTAGCAAAAGAGGCCGATGTGACCCAAGGTAATTGGCAATTCTGGGTATAGAAAAGTTTTATCTCCATGCAGATTTAGCCGCGAAATAGGGGCCATACATTTGGCGCCGTACTAGACCTTCTTTCAAGATTTCTTGTGACCGCTCTCGTCTCTATCTTCCTTATTGCTACTGGACGCATTCCTAGCTTCTGCCTGCGCCGCCGACTCTTGTGCTTCAAAGCTCGCTAAGAGATCATCGATCTTCTTTTCGAGGTCTGTAAGATTGGATTCGAGCATCTGTGCTGTCTTTTCGCCTCCTATAAAATTGAATTGTCAGGGATGACTCAATACAAACGACAGTGTATAGGCAGAAGCATGCGAAAATTCAGCTCGACTGGGTGTAGAAACACGAGGCTAAAATTCTGGGAGTCGTGTGGCAGAAGAATATAGCCAGATGGAAAGAGTAGTGTGGCTAGGAACAGTTGGTGAAAAACGCACGTTGAAGTTCTTTAAAGGCCTAGAATTTTGGTGCTTGTTAGACAGGGGTCTCTAAATGCAAGTGACTTGGGCTGAGCTGGGACTGGGGTAAAGATGGGATTCTCTCCCTGAGACGTGTTTTCGCATCGAGAAAATTTGAGATTCCCATTTAGGAATCAGTAAGATAATCTAGAAGTACATAATGGATCATGAGAGGATCTGCGACTAACACAGGCATCCATACCATGTCGGAAGACGCAAGGCTAGGGAAGTACATTGGCAGTGGTGCTGCCAGATCATACATAGGAATAAATTTTGACGTACCTGGGCTACATCTGCATCTGAAAGGGAAATATCACCACTTTCGGCATCTTCTTTCTTAGTATCGCTTGATGGAGACATTATTTTGACTTTGATTGAATGATGGAGTGCGAAATGGGCAAATTCGGTGTTCTGAGAGTGTGAGGGGGTGAGGGAGTTTCAAAGGCGGGATTCGTTATCGATAAGTTTTGGTTGACTGATTCGTTTCGAGTACAGTGAGGTTACTAATTTTACAGCCTCGCTTGCTCGCTTAGACCAAATCATACGATACAGAGGTAACTTTACTCATGCTCACATGGAATACTCAACCGAGGGTAAAATAAGATGGAATTGTGCAGATGGTCAAAGACGGTAATACTCGTACTCATGCCTCAACATTTTTGCTTATCTGGTACTCCTACAACAACAACATCAGTAATTAATTTTCCAATCCCAAAAGTGATACGCATCCCTGAATCGCTTCTCGATGGTGCTTAAACCACAGATGGCGAAGAGAAAGCAAATGCAATTCAATATGTCCGTCACATGACGATCTCAATAGAAAGATCATCGAGTTCATTCTCTATAGGAGAAACTTTCCGATTCCGACACGATTGCTTTGTCTTGGCTACACCTCGTACTCATTTAATCCGATATTTGATTGGCTACACGGCAGTATCACCTAATGGAATAGGGCGTAGGCATGGATATGGATATTTGAACAAACAGATGACATGAAAGATCGCATTTCTAATAAGTACAAGGTACATTGGATGGCTTGGTAAACCTTCGAACGGTCGTACAGCCTTTAAACTTTCGGGTTCACTTGCCTTGTCAATGGCTTGCGAGTAATGGGAAAAAGTATAAATTTTTGAGAGGAACAAAGCGGAGTTTGAAAGTAGTCAATGTGCAAAACGTGGCTTTTAAAAAGATTTAGTCGATTTATCTACCTAGTATGGTAAACTAGAACCTGGATTAGTTAACGGTATCGAATCCACGTGGAAAAGTATAAAGTTTCACTTGCTAGCGGGCCTCGGGAGCAAAAGGAAAGTCTAAATAAGTTGACGGGAAGAAAGGATGAAGCTGGAAATTGGGAAATGAAAGAATGTAAACACAAAAAATAAATAGAAGATGGGATAATGATAGCATATTTCATAGAGTATATGGAATATCTGCATGGACTTTTAAATCAAATCGAATATACCATATAAGCTACTCGCCCCAAGCTCGGTTCCAATCAGCCGGGTAAACACAGTAGCTCAGGTATGTTCGGAGACAGATGCAGTATCTGGTTTGTGGTGCTTGTAGTTCTTTGTTTGAACTTACACTGCATATTTTTGGCATCGATATAGATATAGGCAGTGACATGCCACTACGCGCTAGTCATGAGAAATGGCATTTCTCAGAAACTGATATCAACTTTGAATATCGGTGTTAAAGGATAAGGAAAACGCCATCGCCAAGGAGACCTGCCATCTTTCAAAGGAATATCTGGTCCTGTACAGATATGGGAAATTAGCATTGTCATGAATAAGATTCACACATGAGATATCCATGATGCTAGTATATATCATCTTCAATCCAACATTGTTGTATTAGGCGAAACCATAATGAGTTTCTGAAAGTCTCTTCCCTAGGTAGTTGCTCAACTCCAAATTACTGACCCGTTTGTCTGGAAACATGATGATTAATAATTCAATTGGCCTACGACTGACGGGGTACCTTAACCCAGCTGCTGGTATTTTCACAGACACGGACACGGACATCCTTCTGTGACATGTGTAACATACTAGCTGGTAAATAGGTATTGATTGTCGTTAGGAGTCAGTACTTGGCTACACACTTGATTCTATGATTCAGTTTGCAGGTAAAAGAAGAGTAGAGGGTCGAAGATGAAAAAGCTCTAGAATCCTGTACCTTATTAGTTATTCGCCTACTGGGTAACTTGGTAACTGGGTAGCTAGGTAAGTAACTATCTAACTGGATGGGGTAATAACAAAGGAGTGGACGGGAGTTCCCTATCCTCGATAATAGGCAGTGACTAATACATGATTGGATAATCAAGGCTACCTCTACTCCATAGATGTTACAGTACAGCGGAGATATGTAAACCTTAGAACATCTGATAAAAGGTGATAATGGGACAAACAGCCTGGTAACCCTGCGAACGAATCATGAATTGATGAAACGACCGGATGAAATAATCTAGGCTTTCTATGTTTTACGTATACCTGGTATTTTTGATTCCATTCCAAAGTCAGTTGCTATTGAATACCATACCAGAAACTACAGAGCGCGGTGCTAGTTGCATACCTAGCACCCACCTGGGACCTCCCTAGTGGATGGATACTTTCAACCCCGTTGTTTAGCCTTAGCACATACTCCGTATTCCGTAAATAAATCCAACTGACAGAGTTTGTGCCTTTTAACTCTTATAGAGAGGACTTACAAGTTACTACTTATTAATAATATATGTGTACAAAGTTTTCAACTAGTCCTCAGCTCCTACATCCTCTTTAGGGAAAGATGGGAATCTCCAAATCCTTGCACAAAGTCGACGAAAAAGGATTAAAAAAAATAGAGGATCCCTTTCTCGTCGTCATTTCTCCCTTAGCGTCACCACTCCAGTGAATGTGAATCGGAAAAACAAATGGAGGATCGGTGCACAATTTAATTAGGATCCCCGCGCATGCATTAATCTCGATTAGTCATCTGCTTCAATCTCGATGAACAATCCAACCGCAAATTCTTTTTCCTTTCACCACAATTGATGATTGCCGTCTCGAATCTTGGATCTTCAATCTGCCCGCACCAAAATCGACACTCGACCATACTATTCTCCCTCGCGCTCATTCCATCCACTTCACTCACCCAGAGAATTCCCTATTAAAATAAAAAAGAAAAAGAAAAGAAGAAAGAGAAAGAGAAAAAAAAAGAAAAGAAAAAAACCTTTCAGGCATAAGCAACGAAGACGCCTATTCTTTAATTTATTTCCTTCTTTTAGCTTGTTTATAGTATTCAATCTTTTCTCCCTCTTTTATCTTTTTATTATACCTTCTTGGGTAATTTTTACTTTTCCCCTCCTGCCTTCATCATCATCATCCATCTTTTGGTTTATATCTTTTCCGCCGCTACCTACTAGGCTCTCGTATTTGTTCTATACCACAGCACTACTACTTCTACTTCTACTGCTACTATTACTACTATTATCCCTATTCCTTTCCTGCTCAATATTCAATATTCGATTTTCAATACCCGATACCCAATACCCAATACTCAATATCCAAAAATCCATTCAGATTCCTTCTTCATTTCTCAATTGACGCCCGCTCGCACACGCATACGCATGAATCGCATCTACTCCGTTCTTCCTTGACACGCATTTGTTCCGTCCCTTTCTCAATTCACCACTCGATTTATACTGAAATCGAGTTCCTTTCGTCGAGATATCTCGCTCATACCTCATCTTTCTACTCCACTCCACCGTAGGAGTTGAACTCTTTGACACGATCAAAAAAGGTTCACGACCCACTACCACACACTACCCAGGTACTTTTACACTACCCAACCTACCTAGCTTCTCACTTTCCCAAATAATCTACTCTACCTGCCCTAAGGTTGCCCCTCCCATTCATCAGTCATGTCTATACGTCACAGCTGATCTATCATGGCAACTAGGAAAATATTTATGAGAATACTATGTTTTAGATGCCGCGAGAATTTCTGGCTAATATTGATGTGAAGTAACGCAGTACAGCAAGACCCGGCCCAAGTTTATCGATTTTTAGATCAACATTTTATCTTATCCCGCATTCAGCAAGCTCTACCGATCAAACTTATTTAGCGAATAGACTCATTGGGGCATCATCTCGATAGAGTTCATTCTTTAGTCGTCTCTCTATTTGCTCTCGAGCTCCAATTGTCGATCTCTTTGTCGACGGCGCCTTATGGTAGAGAAGAGAAAGCTGATAAGCCCTTGTGGTCAAAACTACATCCGAACTTTAGCCCTTCAACAGAATTTATTTCCTTCGGTCACTTTATGAAGGAACCGGACTTTGGCACTATAAAGGGAGATTACATCTCAACAACCTTCCAGGAGATCTATTTACCACTAAATCGTGGAGCTAACATTACATCCGAAAGACGGTTATCTAAAATCAGAAAGGACTTTTTGGCACTTAGGTGGAGAAGGCATTTATCCTAGGAGGCGGGAAGCTAGAAACTGGAAATCGGAAACTCTCACGTATATCTCTGGACACGAGTATCCAGAGGCAGCCTGCTGTATGACTGACTTGTCAGAAATCTTTGCGGAGTTGGGCATCTCTCATTACCTCCACAGCTTTCTCGAGCAAGGGTTTGACACATGGGACACAATACTGGACATAACGGAGTCCGATTTCGATGCCCTTGGTGTGAAACTCGGCCATCGTCGGAAACTTCAGAGGAAGATTGCCAATTCAAGGGGTCTGTCTTCAGATCGGGCTCTTGCATCACCCTCTAGCACGACGCCAGGTGACACTCATGGAGATGAACCAAAAGTAGGAGGAGGGAGAGACGCTAAGGATGGAGGTAGTGGACCGCATGGAGCGAAGCGAAAGTACAGAAGGCATCCCAAAACAGACGAGAATGCTCCAGAGCGACCACCGTCGGCATATGTCATATTTTCGAATAAAATGCGCGAAGATTTAAAGGGGCGAAATTTATCCTTCACAGAAATAGCCAAATTAGTAGGAGAGAATTGGCAAAATCTATCACCAGCCGAGAAGGAACCATATGAGCAATCGGCATACAAAGCCAAAGAGCGTTACAATAACGAATTGGCCGAATACAAAAAGACACAGAGTTTCAAAGACTATTCACAATACCTCGCCGATTTCAAACAAAAGCAAAACCAGCAATTAGCGACTGAGATGGATGTTACGAAAAGGCCCAAACTGGAAGCCCATTTTAGTACAGCGAGCAGTGGAACAGCAAGTAGTGGTGGCAGTCAGACCGGGGCAGAATTTCCCTTGGGTCGCATGCGCGTAGATTCCTCGGCGTCATCGATTTCTCCATGGCATGCATCAACCTCACCCTCGTCCGCTGTCATGACACCCACCATACCGGGCTCGGCGAATGGTCATAAAGTACCAGGAATACAAAGTAGGCTAGGTCCAGGGTCACCAACCGAGATGCCGAAGGTCCTCCCTGGTTATCGCGAGACCATGTTGGGGTCAGGAGGGTCACCGATCGATACGCCGAAGGTTCTTCCTGGTTACCGAGAGTCTATCTTGGGCCCAGGGGCTCAGCAGTGGCGAGAAGATCATCGAGATGAAAGCAGCATTGCGCAACAAATGACTCACGCAAATAGCATCGAAGCGCGCTTCGGCCAATCAAGCCCCGCCACTGCCGGCATGCAAGATCATTCGACCTCGAATGATTCCAAACATCATCGCCGCAATCCCGAAAGTAACCAAAATCCTCCTCCGCCATCACTTACTTCGGAATCAACTGTACAATCCTCTGGCTCTGTAGCCAGTAACTCCTCCATGTACCCCGGACCTCGAACCCCATTAGAACCGGATTTGAACCGAGCTCTTCCCATGCCTTCATTATATCCTCAGAAATCTGGAAGCTACGACGGCCAATTACCATTTCTATCCGGTCATCCATCCTTATCACCCCAGAACTCCCTACCCGGATCTCAACAATGTACCAATGGTTCGTGGCAATTCTATCATGTTTCTTTCGTGTCCCTTAGCTTTCTTTACACATTCACCATAAGTTATCAATAGCTAATTAAATACAACAGTCAATCAAATCAAGGACTTTTCCACTACAATGCCACCGATTAGACGATATAGTGAAGTTCCCCAGAGTCTCTCGAACACTATGGACAGTATAATGGGCAGATCCAACAAACACACGTCTGATAGTTCGCATCCTCAACCAGTAAATAATTATGTTTCGACCGCGGAAGAGATCGACCTTGACCCTATCAATGCCTTGTTGAGGGCGGGAGAAATTGTGAATCGTACCAGTCGCGAAAGACAATTTTAATTGTTGATTGGTTCTCAAATCTTTCAAACAGCTTAAAGGGCGTGGCACGTACATGGAAGAACAAGAATCGATATATCTTGTTAAATTTTCTCGGTGGGTCTTTTTTTTCGGCGTACAGGATCTTAGGTTTGGATGGAGCCTGGAGTCGTTGGGACATCGAGGGCACTCATGATTATGATTCCCGGAAAGGTTTTTATGACATACTGCCCTTGTTACTAGACACGAGACTGCATTGTATGATTTCAAAGATAAATTGGATTGACAGGCAGATGAGGATGTATCCTTGAAAGAACTTTCAGAGTATTCTATAACTGGAAGATGATAATCATCTGTTTTTTGATATATATTTTTCTAACTCATTCGATTATAAGCGCGAATATTCACTATCCAGGTACTACTCTGATGTACATAGGAAGATTGAACCAGTGTGCTGGAAAGGAAGGAATCTTTGGGATTCAAATGGGAATGCAACACCTTGGGAAGACAGCAATTTTCCGAATCCGAGAGATGCTGGAACTGCATCTCCCATTTTTCATGACATGATATGATGATATGATGTCACACATTTAGATGCGGAGGATTTTTCCCTCTTTGCAATGTAGCGAGAATGAAATGCATTTTAGTTGATGCATACCTATTATTAGTTGATGCTTTTATGAATATTCAAATATATATTTAGTATATTATATTATATGATGTTGTGTGGGTATGGTGTATAGTTTTATTTGATAAGGTGAGGTTTTGTGAGGAGTGCGGTGAGTAGGGGAGGGGACGGACGGAGGGAGGGAGGATGGAGGGAGGATGGGGGGAGGTGGTATGTGTGTGGTGTGATGTATAATCTTAATATTTTTATACTTATATATATATTTGAATACTATATTATAATGTAATTCAATTCATTATCAAGTGTGTAAATAAATAGATGAATAGATGGGCGAGTAGTATGTATATCTATACATAAATATATACATTTAATCTCACATTAAGATAATTCGTCTGCTGATCATAATACAGAGTATGAAGGAAGGTAACTTGTAAATAAGACTATAAATCTAAATTATATAGTTCTAAGAGTTGTGATGTTTCTGGGATTTTGATGAAGTTGATGGATTTGTACGCTCGAATGAGGAGGTGAGGTGAGGTAAGGTGTACGGAGTATGTGTTAAGATATCAAAGTACAGTAAATCAAACTGCCAGAGTAAATTATTAGAGAAACCTCGAGGCTAAGCAAGAAAAAACTTATTAAGGAGGGTGATGATGATGATAAGGAAAGAGATGATATCACCGTCCTAAGAAAGCTCTAGTAAGAAATTTACCTATCAATATATAATATATAATATATAATATACAGAGTGAATTTTGGAGTTGGAGTCGGAGTCGGAGTCGGAGTCGGAACAGCTCCCGATGGATGAATTAATTAATTGTTTTCCCCCTTTTTGGGGAGGTTCTCGGTTAGGGTGTGTGTGAGGGTTAGGTAGGGAAAGAGGGAGACGGGGAGAGAGGGAGAATTTGTGGTTTGGAGTTTGGACATTGAATTGGGTTGAATGGAGTATAAAATATTTTTTTATTTCTTTTTATCTACATCAGATATGGAATTTATTTCCATTCTAATAAAGAGAGAAAGGGAGAAAGAGAGAATCTTTTGGGATTGGAGGTGGGAGTTGCAGCTTGAAATTTAAGCGGAAATGGAAATGAAAATGAAAAACTTGATTTATATACAAGTGTCATACCATATCCTTCTACTAGATATACAATGAATGAACAAATGATATGATAAGATGTAATGTAACAAGAAGTTGATTTACTACAATTGGTGAACCCAACAATCTGATTATTATAAATTTTATTTCCATACGTACTTATTCTCGTCTTCGTCACCATATTAAACTTGCACCATCCATCCACATCTCCCTCAGATCTTCTTTAAAGGTAATTACTAGACTAGATCAATCTAAAAGTTACTCGAACCAAATAGATTAGATTCTCATATATAGCACGCCTAGTAACTGAAAAGAAAAATTATCTACCTACCTATTCAAATATAAGAATTCTGAATACAACAGGCAAGAGAAGAAAAGACAAGACAAAATAAAGTTAGTCAAGTCACCAATTAGATGATACTTCATATTCAAACTTAGGCCAAAAAATCTCAATGATAGAAATCTCCACTTGAGATGTTACATAAGGAGAATGAAAGATCAGTGAGAGAATTGGACTAGACTAGATGATAGAAAGTAATTCACACTTGTAGGTTGACTGCACAAATATTTTAAACTAATCTTTCTAGCTGTAAACTCATTTCCCAAAAGCACTTGCATGAATTCCTATTTTGAGGAAAGTCGGGGATTATGATCAGAGTTTATTAGGCGTAGTAATTTCATAAAAAGTACAAGTAATTGTCAATAGCTTTTAAGCGAGTTGATCGAGGATCCTGATGTAAAAACTTATGCCAAACAATTCTAAGATGTTGAGTGCAAAATAAGCTATTACTAGTTCTCATCAAAGGTAAGCATTTTTGTTTGTTCTTTCAGATGTTCTCCATTGGAAATTGTGTTCCATCATCCACATGTGCTTTTACATTTGTCTCAGCACTCAACTCTTTCCCCTCAACTTGTTGTGCCCACCGCTCCGGCATAATAGTCTTGAAATCAAATGTGCCCTTTGAACTCCTGACCACTTCTCCCTTCTCCGTAATGACCGCATCAATATACATACTGGGCGTAACGTCAAAACTAGGATTCCAAACATCAATTCCTTGATGAGCAATAGCCACTCTAGCCGTTGTATTCACATCTACATGTCCATCCTTTCCTACTACAGCTCCACTTATTTGTGTAAGTTCTGTTGGAGCTCGGTCCTCAATCTTTATATCTGCTCCTGAAACCGTCTCGAGATCTATACTTGTTGTAGGTGCTGCAACTATGAACTTTATGTTGTGAGCTTTTGCAAGAACGGCGAGAGAATAGGTTCCAATTTTATTGGCAGTATCACCATTGCGAGCGACGCGATCTGCTCCTACAATGACAGCAGATATGTTTTTGCTTTCCTTCATTCGGGCGAAAAGAGCACCGGCCATAGAATCAGTAATGAGTGTTGAAGGAATCTTTTCGTAAACAAGCTCAAAAGCAGTGAGTCGGGAGCCTTGGTTATAAGGACGAGTTTCAGTACAATAGGCGTGGTCGAGGTAGTTCATTTTGTGCAGGCTGCGGATTATACCCAAGGCGGTACCGTGGCCGGAAGTAGCTAGGGAGCTGAAGATGGGATTGTTAGTACCTGTTTCGTTTTCAGGGATGGAAGAAGGTAGAACGAATGGCATACCCAGTATTGCAATGCGTGAGAACACTCAATTTTCTATATGTCCTGTCCGGTGCCCCTTGAGTGCATGGTGGGCTCGTTGTAAAAAATTTCGAAGGATCCTCGTCATCTTCCTCGCCTCCAATTGGCATCTGTTGTCGTCTTAGATATTCCGCTCCATATCTACCAATTGCCAAATTGGTGGTGAGGTCATCTTCTAAGATCTTCTCTGCCGCATCAATATATCCCTTTCGAACATCCGCACAAGCAGCACTGTCATCCAATGCATTTGTAGCTTCCGCAGCAGACTGAGAAACTCGTTTGAGAAGTTTGATGGCATTTGAAAGATCAACGGCAGTAGGTCTACTACCTAGGAGATAATCAAGACGTTTGTTGATATATTGGACAGCTTCCTGTTTCGTCTTTGAACCTGAAATAATTCGCATTAGCTAATTACCAATACTGTTTGAGTCAATCGTCAAGAAGTACCAACCATCTTTTTCATGATGAAGCTCTACGGCCAGCGCAAGAGCTGCCACAATCGCGATTGCTGGGGCTCCTGATAAACACTTAGCCATTAAAGCTCATCATGATGTCCGACTGACAAGAGAGCAATAGATACCTCTCACACGCATCGACTTGATTGAATCAAATGCCTCTTCACAAGTTGAGACATTATCATACACAAACTCATGCGGAAGTCTCAACTGATCTAGAACTTCTAGTCTTCCTCTGCCATATTTAATGGCTTCTAAACCAGCCATATTTTCGATCGTCTGCGCTTTTCCTATTTTGAGGTGTGGATGCGAGATGGAATGAAAATGAAATTGGAGAGAGCGACGGCAAAATATAGTAAAGGATTCTTTTATATGTAAGAAGCCGATATTTACAGACAGAGAAAGGAAATGGTTGCAATACAGAATTTAGTTTATGCGCATTTTGGTGATTGTCAAGAGAGGGTGAATAAATATGGATAAATGGTTAAAATATAAAACATTAATAAGGCTTGATATAAAATTTCATGGAGTGGAAGGACCCCGCCCCCGCCCTACCACAAAAATGGCGGTGAAGATTGGCAAAACATTACCAGTCTTTTGTGCCCAAACCAATGGCCGGCCCGGGTGCTTCTAGATATTTTCATGTTCTTTTTCGAATTTTATAGCCATCATATCATAAACTTCAGCTAAGCATTTTGGAGCTAGAGGTCATCATATTCGTGGCTCGCTGAACCTTTGGTGGAGTGCTCTTCACCGGATGATCGAAGTTGGCGGGCGGGAGACCCTTTTTCACCAATTTTGAAGCTAAACGGGAATATCATGACACGGCTAAGTAGCCTTTGTATCGATATGGAACACTCTGTTGGGATGTCTGTCGTGTTGAAATTGCAAGTACATTATGGGCAAGTCTATTCGTTCAATGCGCAAGCTGCATATATGTTGAACCCCTTTTCCTGCATTCCTCCTGGTCTCGGCTTGGTGCATATTCTCCAGAAGAAATTCTGCTATAATGAAAGTACTGTATAGTGTGTGTTACGCGTGGTCTCTGGAGAAGACTGATGTTTGTTGTTAATCGTCAAGCACGCATCTACAAGATGTGGTATCAGTATTAGTATCAGATTCGATGCTGTGAGCTTAAAACAAGTCCGCTGCAATTGAATCTGTTAGCGAACTATCTAGAAGTTTTACTAGTCTTCTCGCTTTCCATGGATAGCTCTTTTTTTTTTTAAATTCAGTTTAACGTGGCCTGGCTTCTAGTGAGAATATATCTTCACTGGATGGAGACATTTTCAAAGGTAGACATTTTGGGCTTTCAATATTGAAATATTAGGATTAATGATCTGTGATTACTTTAAATAGTAGTCAGAGCTTTTATGACAAGTGCATTTATTGGAAGCCCAAATTGAAAGCAACCGAATGATAACTTTACACCGTTTCAGCTATATTGAAGACACATTAATGGCACTCACGCCCACTTATGGTGAGATGGCTCCAGTGTATACCATGTCGTTCTCTTTTCTGGTACTACTTTATTTAAATTGGAATGAGTTTGAGTGAAAGTAATCACAGCATGTACAAGCTTATTTGAACGTCGATTTCATTATGATACGGACCTTGCGAAGACAGTTCATCGTGGAGGACGAGTTGCATTCACATAAATGCTGACGAGATTGCTTTCAAATGTGGAATTAATATTAGCCTGTTGAACATGTCTGGAGAGAAAGCAGTACCGATGTATCTACCCGGGTGTGAATAAATCGTGCCTGAGAGGAAAACGACTTACCTGTAGGCTGATCCAAAAGTTGTTACTCAATTTCTACCTATTGATTCGGTTAAAAAAACCTTCAACTTTGATCGGCCCGTGAATAAATGGTCACTCATCCCGGGAAAACTTCAGGCAAGTTGGGATTAGTTTGAAGATAAGATTGGTCTGCCGCATATACCTTCCTCATTAGTACTCTATGTAATAGTGGGGGATGCAGATGATATACATCTGTACAACTGAAGCTTCGCACCACCTCGTGAGCTTTGGACGTTACATGAACCGGAAGATACACATTAGAAACACACATTCATTGCAACGACTAAGATAAAACTCTGGTACCCAAGCCTACTCACCAATTAGTTTGTTGAAGACCTTGCATATTCAATTTCCACCAACCAGCCAGTCAACTAAAATTATGTCATTCATAGTTACTCAATTTAGTAGTCCATACATACCACTCGCAGCAAGGCAAGAGGCTCTTGACCGAGCATTCGCAGATCCTGGAATTCCAGATGCGATTCATACAACGAAATCATTTTGGATGAAAGAGCCACATCCCGAGGTTGCAAGTGTACAGTCAGAACATCTCCCAGAAATCGCGAATTACGTCATCATTGGTTCGGGTATTACAGGAGCTTCAGTAGCACAAGCTTTGTTAGAGGGCCTCGAGGAGGCTAGTCCATCAGAAACCCAATCTTTACCTCAGCCGAAAGTCATCATGCTAGAAGCTCGAGACAGTTGTAGTGGTGCCACGGGAAGAAACGGTGGGCACATTTTGGAAACTGGCGAGGAATATGCTATGCTCAAAGAACGTTTGGGTAAAGATGAAGCTATTAAAATTCATAAATTGCGAATTTCCCACCTTGAAGCATTGATCAAAAGTGCCGACCATTTGGGACTGACTGAAGAATCACAAGTTCGTAAAGTGCGATTCTTGAGTGTGTATTTTCACAAGGAGGGTTGGGAAGATATTCGGAAAGATATAGAGGTTTTCATGACTGATATGCCCAATGATTCCAAAGGATGGGGTTTCATTGAAGCTGATGAATTGGCGAAGGTAGACCTTTTATTATTGTGAAATGTCCCTCTTCTCAGTAATGCAAAAGTCTGAACAGATGGCGATTAGAAGTTTTTGATTGCTGAGTCCACTTGCAACATCAACCTACGGAGATTCTTTTGCTAATATTTTAAAGGAGTTCGGGATACCAAATGCTGCTGGAGCAGTGACAGGTATTGCAGGTGCAATGTGGCCCTACAAATTTGTCACAGGCCTTCTAGCACACCTACGAAAACAATTCCCATCAAACTTCCTCCTTGAAACAAACACTAGCGTTTCCCAAATCCATCGAGGCGAACACTATTTGGAAGTCACCACACCCCGGGGAACAATAAAATCCAAACACGTAATCCACTGCACCAACTCTCACATCGGACACCTCGTCCCGGGCATAAAAGGCTGCATCTTCTCCATTGTCGGACAAATGTCCGCCCAACCACCCGGAGACAAATTCAAACACCAAAGCGACCACTCCTGGATCTTCAACTATGCCCATGGTTTCGACTACCTAACACAACTTCCCATCAGCGCATCATCTAACGGAGAAATGATGATGGGAGGCGGCTACGCACAAACGCAAAATGGCGGAATCCACGAAGCTGGCATTAGTAAAGATTCCGAATTAAACATGTACGCTAATATCCACCTGCGCGGTGTTCTAGGCGCCGTCTTCGCACCTGAGAATTGGGGTGCGCTTCATGTGCCACCGGTGAAGTCAATGTGGACGGGTAATATGGGATTTAGCACCGATGGATTACCATGGGTAGGAGCACTCCCCTCGTCTGTGACAGATAGGAAAATCACAACTACACGGAGCAGTTATGAAGGAGCTGAATGGGCGGCAGCGGCTTTTTCAGGTGAGGGTATGGTTCATGCTTGGTTATGTGGGAAGGCGTTGGCGGAGATGATTCTTACGTTTGATGTTGGGAGGGAGGGGGTTGTGATTCCGGAGTGGTTTCCGCAGGCGATGGTTATTTCTGAGGAGCGCCTGGCGAAGGCGAGGTTGGAGAGGTATGCAAAGGATTGTGTTGTGGTATGACTTTTCAAGTTGCGGTATGATGGGTATATGTATATGAACGGTATATTCTTAATATTTATCGGGTAAGCTGTGAATCTCTACAAATCTTCTTGACGCTTTTTCTACTTAGTATACAAGCAATTCGGCCTATCCGTCCTACAAGATTCAGAGAATAGATATCACAGGAGTGTATATGGAAGGGTAACCATTTGATCACAATTAACATTACCTACATTTCATCACATTAAATTATCTACCCAATAAATACATCCGAGTAACCAATATAATAAAACAAGGTCAAAGAATAACCCACTCACACTCATCATAATCATAACCATAATCATACCTACCTAATCATACCTACCTCTAGGATTACAAAACACACAACTAATTTAAAGAAAGCGGTTCCTTCATCAAAGATTCATTAAAGATTCCCTGGCATATATTAAAAACCGCCATGTTTTTAAGAAAAGATACACAATAGGAGATATATTGAACTGATTGTTTTCAGGCGGAAGCGGGGAAAAGTAAGGGAGGAAGAGGGGACGGTAGTAGAAAGTACTAGGTAGGCAATCTCATATTCTTCGCACAACCCTTTCCTGTCGATGATGATAGCTAGCTTAGAGGTACGGGACTCAGAAATATGGATATATATTTCCATCTTGAATCACTCATTCGCGCAATTCGACACCGTTTTCCATCAGGACCCGAAAAAGCCTTCCAAGGTTGTATGAAGGACTGCAAAAAAAACTAGTTCTCCATTGAATAGAAAGATAAGGTTTTGTGAGGAAGAAACTCTCAACTTGAATTTAAATGTATCAAAACTTGTGATCGTCAATCTTTACCGTGTCCTGTTATTCAATCCAGCGCCAGTTTGAAAAGACAGTACCCACTGCTCCTATTCTCCTCTTGTCCCAATCAGTGGAATATGCGTCTATCCCAAATCCACAAACCCCAATAAAACAGCCTCTTAATATGTGTTATACACAGTGTATCAAGTCACTGCACTAATTATGCGTCGACACCTGAGCTCTTCCCTTTATCGTCGGAGAAGTTGCCAGTTGGAGACGTTGACTTTGCACCCCATGCCCACGGCATCCAATTTGCACTGGATGTTCTCTCCGCTTCTCTTCTTCGATTTCCAACTTCTTCCGTCCCAGAATCTGCATCAATTTTTTCAAAATCAGGCTCACTCTTTCTTGAGGTCATGCCACTCATAGAGCTCTTTGGTCGATCGAGGTTATCATCTTCACTGCTAGTGCCATCAAATGACATACTAGATATATTCCTAGGGACGCGCTTTTCATTTTGTAAAGTTTGCGCTTCTTTATCCAATGCCGAGAGAAGTATTGAAAGACGTTCACGTTGTGCTTGAATGAAGGTTATACGTTCATTTCCAGATACATGGGGTGGTATTAACATTCCACTATTCGACAAATCTCGACCTTCAGATCCACCAGTAGCAGCGTTGGACGAGGTAGCAGCGGTTACTGCTGAGGCAAGGAGCGAATAAAAATCAGTTGCAGTGCTAGTAGCACCACCAATAGGGTTCGATGGGAACGAAGGTCTAGCAGATGGCAGATTGAAGCGCGCCATGAGATTGTGTGTATACGAATAAGCTGAAGGTGTTGATGGCGGTGTTGGCTCTTTAGGCGGCAGACCAAAGATGTGCTGTCTGATCAATTCTATTGCCTGATTGAGATATGTCACACCTGCCGCTTTCGCACGTTCATGGGCGGAGGCTATTAAATCGTCAATAGCAAGCTCATTATTGTGAAGCCATGGATGAACATGTGTTTGGTAGAGGACCCTTGCGCCTTGAGTTTGAGGAAGGATAAGGTATAGGAGGAAACCAAGGCGAAACCAGGAATAAAAAGGAATCCTGGGTAGAAGCAATTGTTAGAATTTTTCATGGGTAATGCGAGAGAAAGAGACGTCAGCAAACCAAACTAGTATGAATCCGACCCAAGATTCAGCGAACAAAGCAATCGCAAGAACCACCCAATACATAAGCCATGGTGTTAATAACGCTGGATCCGAGGTCTTTAGAGCTTTGTAGGATGCGAAAACTGGAAAAAGAAAGGTAGGAATAGAACTGAAGAGTTTTAGTATAATCCTAGGATGTATCGTTCCTCTGTATCAACGCTTCCTTGAAGGCGGGGTATACTTACGATAAGAGCCTTGCGAATGTGTCGAACATGATCACTTTGGTCCTTCAAAGAGGTTGCTTCTTGTAAAGCTTTAAAGGTTACCTAGGTATACTAGGTAATACACGAAGTTGATTCTGATAGTGGAAAAGGTATAGTATCGGAGTACAGACGATGAATGTGTAGATATGAGTAGGTTGGTGAATTGATGAAGAGGGAGATGAGATAGAGATGTATTAGTGAGGATGCTGATCTACCGGTCAAGCTCTAGGATTCCTTTGAGGTTAGAAGGCTTTAGCGTGTTTCTTATTATTACGGGGTATCAGGTGCCCATATTTGATAGCCGAAATAGCCTAAGACATGCTACGGATTATGGGAACGGAACCACCATGGGATTTTGTATTTCTTATTTTGCATGAAAACAGTGAACTTGATGGACTTCATAGGCAAATTGATGATAATTGTTAGATCGATCCCCTATGCAGCTTTGTGCGGCAATGCAAGGCTACCAAATACAACCGCAGCCTTGTCAGTTTGCTCAGTAATGAGTCTGGTGGTCTTACAACTGTGCAGCGCCCGACCCACCGAGGTACGAGCTAGGTACATCAGATCAGTAGTAGATAGGGTAGGCATAGTCAGCAGGTCCCCACTACGGAAACATGGAGCCGCCCGGGAATGACTAATTTAAAGAATTGACCTGACAGATCATGGGGTAAATCTGCACATATCTATCTGCTGTCCAACCGCCCAGAAAAGCATCTGTATGAATATGAATTGATGAGCTTGATGGCCTGATATTATTCACGCCAAATGATATGGGCCGAGATTCTTGGATTTGGCACCTCCCAACAAAATCTCCGAGAAGTCGCATACTCGAGTAGTAACTTCATATAAGAGAGAGGTCGTGCCTTCTGGTAGGTCAGCCTAAATTTCTTTTCCCACTAAACTTCCCCAGCTTCACCATTTCAACATTCTTTAATATCACCTACATTATCTACACTCCATACCTATAACAGCCGCCAGTATGTGTATTGTCTTGGCAACTACCGCACATCCATCCTACGCACTTATAATTCTTGATAATCGAGATGAGTTCATTCTTCGGCCTACAAGCAAACCACATTGGTGGTCTTCCCATCATCAAGAAATCCTGTCAAGTCGAGACCTACAGCGCGCCGAGCAAGGAACATGGTTAGGGATTACGAAAACAGGGAATTTTGCGGTTCTTACGAATTATCGAGAAACAGATACCCACGATAAAGATCATCCTGTACAAGGGACCAGGAGTCGTGGCGGTATGGTCACGGCTTGGTTAACGGCAGATAACGATGAGAGCACACAGCAATTTGTACACAGGCTATTAGAAGGTGACGGGGTAAAAGGCGTTGGTGGGTTTTCGTTGGTTTGCGGAAAATTGCGGAAAGAAAGATCGTCTGATAACCAAATGGAGCCTCTGGCAATCATCTCAAATAGAAGCGGAAATCCAGACCAAGTGCCCTGGGTAGCCGCGAGAAGAGGGGAGGTTTATGGCTTAAGCAATACTTCATACGACGACCCAATTACTTGGCCCAAAATCAAGTCTGGCAAGGAAAAGGTGTTGGAGGTTGTGGAAGAAGTGGTACGAAATGGCCTGGGAGAAGAGGAACTGGTTGAGAAATTGTACGCCGTTCTGGACATCGATACACTCCCGAAGCAAGATGACAGTCAAGATTTCGAGGAGTATATCTATCAACTTCGAAAATCGATCTTTATACCTACAATCGGCCATGCAACGTCACCTTCGGAAATTCCAAATGCAGATGAAATCGCGGCTGCTGTCGGAAGAGGATCATCGCCACCCGGAGACTCACGAGTTGAAGTGGCGGGGGAGCAGATAAAAGTTAAAGAGGAGCAGAGACCAAAATCTGAGAACAATAACATTGTATCTGGCGTTTATGGTACCCAAAGACAAACCATCATCCTCGTAAATTGGGAAGGACATGTTACGTTCATAGAGCGGTCCCTATTTGACGGAGAAGGTAATCCATTAGAAAGAGGTCAGGCTGATATGAAATTTGAGTTCAATATCGAGGGATGGAATGGGGGAAGCAACGGAAATGAAGGGAAATGAAGTATACCCGCATGCAGTGCCATAGCTTGCTAATAGGATAACAGACCACAAAATACAATAATGATTAAGTCAACTAATTAATTCTACGTGCCAAGGGCATAAATATTTAGTAGCACTGGTGACTCGGTCAATACATATATATGATATATACTCCTGAAGGTTATCTGTCCAATTTTTTTAAAACTATTCTGCAATTTTCATTCGAGTCCTTAAAGGTTATATCAATTTTTCGAATCAAATTAATTTACTAGCTAAGTGAATGATGTATTGATGACTTCATCATCAGTGTGTAATATATTGCAATGGTAGTCACATAGTAAGAAAGCTCCTGCCGTACTCTTTCCTTATTGGTAGATTTGGATAAATGTTACAAAAGTGTAATACTTCTTTTTCATCTTAGTTTTACTTCAATAAGTCTTCCAAATGACAGCCTATCCTACAAATTCTTTCATGAATGAAAGGGATGAATGAGTGATATCAGGTTCTTCGACTCCGAGCTTTTCCCAATCACAGATGTTTTGGCTTCGGGCAACGGTGAGGATATGATAACTTCTTCTGGGACAAAATTTTATTCACCTGCCAAAGTCCCGAAAAACTTTTCAGCACTTCCCATCTTTGTCATTTTCTTCTTGCTTAAATCTTCAATTGTTGTTTGCTCGGTCAAAGCACAGCCATATTCTGGAATAGGGCTTGCGATTCGATCAAAGAGGCTTTGGAGTGTCTTCAATGTCTTGAAACGGGAGAGAGGCGGGAAATCGTGGTAAGATCGACCTTCCATATTCAATCGCTTGAAGAAGATCAATATTGAGAAAGCGGGAGTTGGATCAAATCCAAAGCAAAACTTTCACAACCATCGAAGTTATCTCGTTCCATGATTGTATTGCACTTGGCTTCTGGTCAATAAGCTCTTCTAAAAATCACTTCCATACACTTTTGCTGAGACAATTTTTGTCACATTATGCACGTTTTGAAACTTACATGCTAACGCCTTTGTTGTTGTACAGAGCAACTTAGAAAACATGGCCAATTATAATTGTCGCATCCCCGCTCTCCCATCAACTCTCCTAGCAGAAGGTGATACTCATTATACCTCATCAAAGCGGACCTATTATACGTACGAGCGAGGACCAATCGTTGGCCAAAACACACCTTGGCTAGTAGAAACCTCTCCAGTTCTTGTCAAAAGGACGGCTCCTAATTCTCCAACCTTTCGTGGCACAGCTTGCTCGCCTCGCAATGTCAGCAATCTACCTGGCCCAGTGTCAGCCTTACGTGCGCATGTCAATAATTCACCTGTTCCAACCTCGTCCTCTCGCACTCGTCTGGAAAGTCAACCCCACGGCCCAACTTCATCCTCACGTACTCGGGTAAACAATACAAAAGGAGCCCCTTCACCAAACCGAGCTGGTCCACCGTTGCGTTCTCATTACACGGCACAAACAACAGCTTCTGCTGCACGTAGGATCATCCCAACTCCGCCGGACTCAACTTTATCCTCGCTTCGACGCATCGATAATGCGAAAGACAGTGTCTACCAAAAACGACATTTTCCACCCGACTTAACAGCTCAAGATATAGAGTTCCTAGAGTCTTCAGAGCCTTCTGCTAAAAAGTCTTCAGCTCCCGCTTCCTCGAAACGTAGCCAATATTGCAATTTATCATATTCAGCTTCGTCTCCAGACATCAACAAGTTGTCAGTCTCGAATGAAAACATTCCCCCAGTTCCGTTCGCTCCAAGAAGTGAACTGCATGAAAGAGTTTTGCACGGTCGTCGTGGATCCGCGAACGCCAACAACTGCTATCCTCATCCGCTATATAGCAACCCTACCGTTGCTAGCTCATCCTTGACAGCGTCTGCTTCCAGTACTGACATCAGCCAACCGCGTTCTCGGAGCCAAAGAAAAACAGAGCGCGAATCCTCAAGGATACCAAGTCCCACGTTAGGGTCAGGATCTAAGTCGAGACCCGCCAGCCGTCGTCATCTCCATTCCCCAATGAGACGTGCTATAGAGAAAGGGGAGGAAAGTCGGGCACGCAGAAGATATATCTCGCCAGTTGAGGGACTGCCACAAATTCATACAGGTAGAACATCTCCTCCGGAACCTTACCACATCGCTTATAAAATGCCAGAAATTACCCCGGAGCAAAAAGTAGAATCTGCTTCTTTTCCCAAGTCAAAGACATTTGGCGTCTTCTCTACACTCAAGAACTCATCTTCTATTCAGTGGCTCAATAGCAATCGGTCAACTTCGAATCCAATTCGTGCTGCCGAAGCCACTATTTCAACAACAAAATACTCTCCTATCCCAGAATTTACTACAAATACTCTCCAAGTTCATACCGCCCAACCTTCTGCTTATTGGTGCGGTAGATTTCAAGCTGTCTCCGACAGATATCAGAGTGATGATTTTCATGTTTGTGTTATTAATCCTCTTCCCGTTCCACGAGACAGCGATGTCAAACGAGAAAAGCCATCGGCTCACTATAGGCGTGGTGGTAAGAGCCTTCTAGGGACTAGTTCCTCATCTAGGTCTGATTCACCTGCCCCACTCCTAGAAAAATCCCTCAAGAAGACCCAAGCAAAATCTTACAAGACTGTTCTCACCTTTTCAACTCCAGCACTCTTTCTTGAAGATTTTGACAAAAGAGCTCAGAAAGTTATGATATTCCTTGCATCATTGTGCTGTACAAGCCCAGCCAAGAAAAGTCTTCGGGAATGGCAAATTCAATATGCCACCGCATTGAAGAATAAAGCTCTGATGCCTAAAAGTGATCCTGATGATAAGGGATTCTTTGGAAGAATGGGAAGAGTCATTAGTGATGGTGTTACTGGAAACAAAGGTGCCACTAATGGGCGAGGAACTGGAATGGGAAAGCGAAGTGCTTTCGGTCTCAGGAGAGGTGGTAGAAGTGTTGGAGGGGACCACTAATTATTCTATCTAATTTATGGATCGAAGCTTGGATGTAGTAAGAGCAAGGATTGACATATTGGAGTACTAACATACTTACGATTTCGGCTTCGAGGTGGTGGAAGAGACTTGCATATTGATGGAACGATCGTTATTGGACTTTACCACTACGAATGGATATGGGAGGAGCTCAATGCGTAAGGTTTTCCGACTGGGTGAAATGGTTACGAGAGATGCAATACAATATACTAAGAAACGATGCAACGGAATGAGATACGACAATACGATTTTATGACAACCTTATGACACGCTATGGAATGGTTCAACATAGTTATCTTACAATAAGATGGGGCGAGAAAATAGACTCCGAGGCATTGTGTGTATAGTAGCTACAGTTGATTATTCTGACTTTTGAGAGGAGAATGGGGAAGAGCATTAGAAGTAGTAATTATAGTAACGTTTGAACGTATGAAATACAGTTTCATATTGTGTCAAAAGGAAAAGTGCACGAGATGAGTTGAAAAGCAATATCATATGGGGCAAATGCAAAAGAACTCGAATGTAAAAAAATTCAAATAACATGGATAAAAATGATAAAAATAGTATTCTCAAAAACCCCAAAACAAATCCTTATATAAAATATACAATAAATAAAAAGGTCCCGCATTCATCAATATCCATATCCATATCCATCTCCATTTAAATTACCACCTCCTGCCTTGCAAACACCCACCACTCACGCACAACATTTCTTCCCATCAACCAACCTACTCTCACCATCCGTCAAATTCAAAACACTCTTCAAAGCGCCATCCCTACTAGCAGCCGCCACACTACTCGGCGTACTACAATACGAAGGCGGCACATCCAACGCAGGATTCTTGATAAAGAAATGCCGCGGTCTCAACAACAACGTCATCGGTTCCGCAGGCATGATGGGAAAATCCTCCGGACTGGGGAAATGCGTTATGCCAAATGTATGCCAGAGAACAATATCCGTATTTTGAATATTGGCTTCGCCATTCGCGATCCATTCTGGGAGGCCGGCGCTGGGCTCCCCCGATGTTTGCGGTACGTGGCGTCCTGCGGGGTGCAGTTGGTCGTCGGAGTAGGGTGTAACGTGGACAGCGTGGCGGGCGAAACCGGCGCGTTTCCAGACGAGTGAGCCTTCTTTGGGAAGGAGCTTGGGGACTTCCCGACTGACGAGTTTGTAGGAGACGGGTTTGTGGGAGTAGGGGTTTAGTTTGTTGGGGTTGGCCATTTCCCATGTGCGGGATGTGATGCCGTCGTAGTCGCTGATGGATTCGTTGACGGTTTTGTATTCGGTTTTTTGGGCGAAGAAGGCGTTGCCGTGGGGGTTTTCGGGGGAGCCGACGGCGCCGGCGCCGGGCATGGCGTCCGCTTGGAAGACGGTGTTGTTAGGTCCGTCGATGTTAGAGTCGATGCGGAGACAGAAGAGATGTTGATGGTTGTGTGCGTTGACGCCGGGGTAGACTTCGGTTCCCCAGCCTTTGGTGTCTTCGCCGGGGTTCATGGAATAGGTGTTTAAGATGCCGGTGAGTTTGATTTCGAGTTGGATGGTTCCGTCTTGGTGGAAGATCCAGTACACGCAGTATTCGTAGTTGGCGGCTGTGAAGATGTGGGAGACGATAAGTTTACGGCCACGGGTTACAATGACGGAGTCATCGCGGAAATCGGTGTGCTTGAAAAGGATACCGGCATCTTCTTCGTGAATGCAGATGGCGTTTTTGATGGTGGTACTTTCACCGGCGCGGTTTACGAACGCAGCGTCCTAATTTGATTTATGTTAGAAAAGACTTCAGGTATCCATTGAAATGAGAAAAACTGTACCATGTAATGAATTGCACCTTTGCAGTCACAGCCGAGGGAGAGACTGTTAGTCATGTATCCTCCTCCATATTCACCAAGATCGAAAGCGTGTTTGCGTTGATGAGGATGTTCAGGGTTACCGTAAGGAACAACCATCTCTACGAGAGAAAGTCTGTAGAATACTGGTCTAACAGTTCCCTTATCGTTGTATGTAATATTGTTGAGGACAATTCCTTCCTTGTAATTGAATCCAACATGGAAATTCCAGTTTTGCCAATTAATCTCACGACCATCAACCTTGAATGATACACCAGCTGGTTGGGTAATATTGATTGGTGTGATGTCCTTTCTGTATCCTCCTTCCTTTTCTATGCTTCCTGGATGATAGTTATTTGGTGCTGCCTTACTGACTGGTCGTCGGACCTCTGGGATATCAATGTGGATGATCTGTTGTTTTTCCGCATCGTAAATAGGACAGAAATCGAGAGGGAAGGAGTATTGAGAATCATCCATATGAGGTCGATAATACATAAGCGCTTGTTGTAGACGAACGTTATTACCGAATCGGTGGTCATAACCAATGGTCCATGCTATAATCGCTTAGAATAAGGGGAGTAAACGAGGTAGATATGAGAGGCTTACGATCGCAATACACTTTGTGCATATCTTCCGCTGGGATACCACTCAAAATACATTGCTCAATTACCTTTGGGTCTTTTCGAACAACATGCTCAACGATTTGAAGATCTTCCATTGTGATCTGCATTTACTGTTAGCTTTAATGTCGCAAGTAGATTGCACAAGATTCTAGCATGGATTAAATACATACCAGAGGTTGTACACCATCAATATGTTCCCATTTCACCACCTTTCCCTCTGCCAAATCAACCAAGCCATCATAGACCTTACCACCTGGCGCAATCACCACCACATCTGCTATTCTCTTTGGTCTTGGAACAACCTGTGGACTTTCAAGCCATTTCATCATCTCCTTCTTGCGGGGTTCATGAAGTGTGATGGCATTGTAATGAACAGATCCCTTTTCAGCACGAATGATCTGAACCGCTTTCTCAATCTCTGCATTGGAGAGAGGATCGAATGGATGAGGTGGAGGAGAAGTAGCAGAGAAGTGATGTGCGAGTGATTGAAGTCTGTTGGAAGCCATTGTGACGAATTGCAAGTCACTTGGAGGGAAAAATGTACAGTGAGTGAGATATTCAATTGAAGTTGTGAGCTCCCTTGGTAGAATCCCAGATTGAAATGCTTCTTTGACAAGAGAAAGAACAATAGGAATGATATATAGAAATAAAGATAATTGAGGAACTTCCAGCGTCAACTATATATCTTCAACCAGCATCTCCACTGAATGTCAGGTACCTGTGCGTGAGCGGGACTCTCTGTATCAATCGGGTCAAGACACGACAGTTTAATTCTAGTAACTTTTCTCAAAGGGTATGCTATTACATTTCTAAAAGAGTATTGTGAAGGTTATCGAATGGCTGGATATGCATGAACAAATCCTAGCTCTTCCAATAACATGGTCGCTGTCCTTGATAGCTGTTCTAACGCAGTGATGAAAGCTTAGAAAAGTGGAGCGAGGGGTTCCGATAAGGATTGAGATAAGGACCGTCTAGACCTAATCGAGACATAGAATCCCGAGACACGTGATTAGAAAGTCCCTCGATTTGAGAGATACGAATTAGGGATTAATTTCCGGAAGATTTCGTGTTGGGGTGGATGAGAAGTAGGAAAGTGATGATAGGGAGGGGATGTCTTTTTGATCGTTTTAGAAACTTTGTTATGTAAATCAAGATGCGATTTCGGAAGAGCTTTGGATTTGATCGATCGTTGGGAATATTTGGCAAAGTGTCAATATCGTGTCCTTCTCATGATCGGTACAGCAGTATATGACTGGCACCATTGGCCGAGGGACACTTTAAGAAACAGGAAGATCACAAGCGAGGAATGGGGATTATCGCACTGTTCTGTCGAAGTCTTTTACAGATCAATCAAATGGTATTTATATAAAAGTCATATTCGAGAGGTGAGATGCAGAGCATTTTATCATGGTCAAGATGGGCAAGAGATATTTCAATCTTATATATTCAAAGGTTAACACTCGCTATACAAAGTGTTTGCTAACAAACATTTGGACCCGATTGTAAAACCTTCGCAACTTCCTGGGCAAGAACGTCATGCATTGGATAGGTAGGATGCAACGAATTCAACCAGAAATATTCGTTCACTGGTATGTAACAAGATGGATCAGTATAATTCGGTGTCGGTGTACCACTGTAATAATTTTATTAGCAAGCGAAAACTGACCCGAGCGATCAAAGGGAAAAACTTACTTCTCATAAGCAACGCAGTACGCGGTAGTATTTTGATAGACAGAAGTCTGGGGAAAACTCTTCGGGTTGTTTAATACTTTGGTGAACAGAGTATTGGTATCAACTGTGAATACGTTGACATCCGAGAAAGTCTTCTTGAGACTTTGAGCAAGTGCGGCAAGACGATTATTCCAATCAGCAATGTCAAGCTTTTCTTCAGCTTGATATGATGCTCCCCCGGAAATTGCCAACGGACTCCTGTCAACGGGTGGGACATTCAGGAATGCAAAGTTTCGAGCACCGATATAGTAGAGTTCATCTACCAGACCGTGGTAAACGGCCATGATTCGTTCATTAAGGTTTGCAGTTGCTGAGGCTCCAAGGTAATACGAATTACCGACATCGTTGATACCATCAAAGATAGCGAAGAGAGTATTTCCAGATGACCATGGAGCTGTATCTGGTTTTCCTGCGTAAGCGGGAAAGAATTGATTCTCGATTTGCTCGGCTACAGAGGAGACTTGTGGTTCATAAGGGGCGACAAGATCAGAGTTGATCGTGGCTCCTCCATACGCCAAATTATACGTCAAGACGGTAGACTTGTTGTATTTGACCGTGAGAAAGTCAACCCAATTTTGGCCATTGGTAGCAGTATATCCTAATCAGAATTAGAGCTGGCTAGATGAAGTTGAGGGTGTCTTACTAACCTGGATATGTAGGATTCCCAAGGGGATTAGTGGGTGTTGGCTGAGTGCCGTTCGTCTGAAATCCGCTCGCTGAGTATGAATCCCCACTAATATAATCAGTAAATGCATCCGGACATTATTTCTCCTGCAATTCTCACAATGTAAATGCATATTGGATTTCGTTCCAACCTGGCCAATTCGAGGTAGCTTGGCATTGTTTGTGAGTATCCTGTGCCAACGGTGCTCCTTGGACGGAAGCTACAAGAGATGTGGCAGTAAGCACAGTGGTAATGCGTGATGAAACCATGTTCACAGATGTTGACGAAAGGTGTATGATTTTGATGCTGATAGTCAGAAGGTTGGGTAGAAGATTTCAAGAGAGAGACAATATTTATATATATATATGAACAAGTTCAAATGGTCACCTCCTTAGAAGTCGTTCTCCACTGACAGCAGTATGATATAATCTAGTCATGTCTATGGAGTAAAACGGATAGATATAAACAAATTCAGACCATGCCATCTGAAGATATCCCCCGCCACACAAAAGTGAAATTCTACGATTAACCGTTTCCAGAGTATAAATATGCAAAATGGTAATTTGTATTCCGGATTGCAGACGGAACATTTCGTTCCGCAGCCGGTTGAGAGTTAAGCTTCTCCACGATGTATTTTACATGCGGGGAAGATCTCAAAGCCGCCGGCGCCATGGTAGAAGCTCTCCAATTATGTTATGAGTGTCAATTTACCCTGGTGGAGAACTTGAGACGTTTTAATCAATATTGGCCTGGCGATTTCGGATGATTGGAAAAGCGGAAAAACTTGCAGTGGTAAATAATATACGGACTTCGCGAAACTGTATTGTAGAAGTCGAAGAGGGAGGCCGGGTTGGAGATGCATAGCTAATTGAAAATGTTCCGAAGGTTTTTGGGATGATGTAGTCTTACAAAAAGACGTTGAACGTTTGGTAGCCGACATAAAAGCACACCGTTAAATCCTTAGTAAAGCCGTTTGATTTTAATCCAATGGCCAAAAATCTTTTCAAAAGTAAAGATTCGAAAAGCTATCTAAATTCAGACACAACACATCATGTCTCTTGCCCCATCTCGTTAGCGCCTTGAGCATATTTCAGTGAAATAACTTTCGAATTGATTGTAACATGGTTCCAATTCAAATGTTTAATAAACATCGTGAAAAATCACCGCAATGCTCTCCTGTTCCTCAAATCAAACTCCCTTTGGCTTCGCAATCATGCACTTTATAATTCTCTGACAGATATTCAAGTATGTTATTCCTGGCTTTCAAAACTTGGGAAGCGTAGGTAAGGTTATGGTTCCTATTCCGCATGAAATTCCAGTATATCCAACCATTGAACGAGACTTATGCGAACCCACAATGATATGTTGCGATTATTCGTCCTTTTGTCGGCTGAAGAAGTTCGATGTGCTAAGATGCATTCAAGTCGCTGTCATCAGGTTCTCTTCGAGATGTAGGACTTATATGTATACATGAGAGATATTAGACACGTACTGAGGATTTGACGAATCGAACCAACGATTGCGAGAGATCAACTGAAGATTAGGTTCGCAGGCCATTGGTACAAGAAGAGATCTTCAATACTCTCGGGAAGATCTTTGATACTTCGTTTGTGGCTTTAAAGTATTGGATACTCTTAAGTATTTGAAGCGACGTATAAGCCATGATTGACTTCAATGGAAAATGGTTATTCTTTATGTAAGATCTTATATATCGTCGAAATAGCCAAATGTATGGACTCGATTCGAGCTAAAGTTCGCATGTTTTAATCAAGTAGGTAGCGTGATGGAACCAGGAACGGGCCGGATAGAAACGTTTTCATGGAGCGTATAGTAGTGCTTCATAGGTGTCATAGGCAGTTCGGGACATCGGATATTCGAGGGTTCAATGACAAGACAAGATATAGTAGCTACGAGCTTGAGTATTTGCCAGGATATAATTCAAACTCATTGCAGCCTCCAAGAAAGTCCTCTCTCTCGAATAGATTGAAGTTTTAATTTCATCGAATAATGTATAAATGTATGATAATGATACCACAACAAGCCCTCCTTTTATTAATAGGACAAGTATTAATACCTATCCCGATTCCCCAATATTCATCTCAGAATCTTCCCAGGTTCATGGACTCGCTGATACACGGTATCGATAAGTACCTAGTATTCTTACGATACGATACTCGGCCATCAGATAGAAAGGGAATTAATCTAATCGCCATCTACGTCACCCAAGCCTAGAAATCTTTTATATGGGGCGTTAAGGAAAGCACCCAGACCCAAAGCCCAAGCCCTGTGCCCTGTGAAGCCACTCTCGCCGGTAATACCTAGTGGGCTTTTGATCACTGCCGACAAAGTTGCCAACAATCCAATCAAAATGCCATGGGGATGGGAAAAGGTAAGATGAATGAATTGAATGAGTAAAAGAGTCGACGAGCCCACTTGATATCTTTCAGAGAATGGATGCCAGGTACCTGACCAGGCTGACCGAAGTACAAAATCAATAGATCGGTGGAAGTCTGCAAGACCAACAAAGCACATAAACTCCATTAACGTGCTTGAAGTTTCTCAGGGTCCAATGGTCCAATGTTGGTCGATTGAGAAACTTTTCACGTGTAGCCATTTCTTTGGGCAGCAAAAGTGCAGATGGGAGTCTACTCAACAGCCCAATGAGATTCGTTAGCGAAAGTTAAACCATGAGTGAATCCTTGAACCCTTCGTCACCTTAACCTGTTCTTGATGAAGCCTGCTTCTGTGCCCTGTCCCCTCTCTCACTCTCACTCTCACAAAACCCAAGATCCTCGAAATAATATCCACCACCGTTTTCCCTTTCTCGAAAGAACCTCAATACCGAGTAATAATAATAAGTCTCGAACTTTATGAAGTTTGTTATTGTTGTTACATTACATTCCAGCCTCCTTATTTTCTAATCGTGAAAATTTTAAAAATATTTCATCCCCGGAAATCAAACGTCTTTTCGAGATCGATTAGCACTTGTTGGTTGGCTTGATCGTAATTCGTACGCCCACCACGTTATTGATCACTTAAGCGGGGTACGAGGTTCACATTGCATCAACTGAGTCGTTTCGCATAAGACATCGATTTTCTCAGCTGAACATCAACTCTTCAAATCTTTTCACAATTTGAAGAGAGAAAAAAAACACCATCTCTAGACAGTTTCATCTGATTTTTGAAAATCAAATTTAGCTCATCATGTCTAGAATGGGAGATCCTTATCGTACTTCCTCGGAAGCCCTTAGCAATTATGGCGGCAGCGGCCGTGGCGGCGGGGCTAACCGTTGGGATAATGAGCGACTTGCTTCGGAGCGCGACCGAGTTCGTTTTGCAACAGAACGAGAAGAGCGAGATTCACGATTTCTTCGAGCTACCGCTGGTCATACACGAGAACGATCTTTTGATGATGTTTATGAACGTCGAGGTCCACGAGGATATGAAGAGGAACGTGAACACTATGAAGAACGAGACTATTACGATTCACCAAGATTTCAACGAGAACCAGAACCAGGAAGAAAAAGACATACAACTATTACAATGGATAGAGAACGAGAGAGGGAAAGAGACGAGTCCCCGCCTCGAAGAGCTGGTGGCAGACCAGCATTTTTGAGAAGACAGAGCTCCCTTGATACCTTTGACCGCAAGCCGTTGGTGCGATACGAGAGAGAAAGGGAGATGGAGAGAGATGAGTATGGTCCTCCTGCCAGACGTCCAGATCTAAGACCGCCTCCTTTGACACCTGTTCCACTGCCAAGAGGTAGAGGATTACCACCACCGAGACGATATGCCGAAAGAGATTACGAGGATATCAAGGTTGCCGAACCAGACTTCTATGGCGATGAGGACTTCCGAGCTTATCCGGAAAGAATCAGAGAAAGGGAAATTGTGAGACGAAGGAGAAGAAGTCACGAAAGGCGAAGCCATAGAAGTCACAGCAAGGAAAGTCGTTCAACCGCTACAAGAAGTGTTCGAAGCGAGAGTGTCAGCTCGTCAGATAGTGGTACCACGATCTCGGTGAGAAGTGAGTTTCCTAAGAAGGGAAAGACAAGAATGCCAGCTAGATTGGTCAGCAAGAAAGCTATCATCGATTTAGATTACCCTTTCGAAGAAGAGGTGAGCCATCCAACATTTATCCACTAAGCAACTTATACTGATTTAACAGGGTGATACAATCATCATTCAAAAGGCACTTGGAAGAGAGAATATCGATGAAGTTATCAGATTAAGTGAAGAATATAAAACAGCTGAGAGTAAGTATTTGTTTTTCATTCCCCCTTTGACCACTGCATCAAAATGCCCCTAACCCCATTCTACAAAGAAAACAAAGTCAAGGAGACGAAAGAGGTAGAGACAACTCTAACAACATACCTCGTTGGTCCAGAACTCGAAATGTCCGGTGGCCGATCAGAAGCTGGGACCATAATCGAAGAACGTACTGAGGTTTTCAATATTCCACCACCTCCATCAATAATACACCACGCTCCTCCACCTCCTCCATCAGTACACTATGCGCCTCCCCCTCCACCAGAGCCAGTGCACTATGCACCCCAACCTCCACCAGCGCCAGCGCCAGCTCAATGGGCACCACCTCCTCCATCGGTTGTGTACGCACCACCTCCTCCACCAGTTATATATGCACCACCACCGCCCCCTCAACAAAACGTTGAGATTCATGAAACCACCCAGATAGTGGAGCGTTCTCCATCTCCAGCAAGAAGTGCATACTCACACCATAGCCACCATAGCCACCACAGCCACCACACTCACCACCATCATGACCCTGTCATATTGGAAGGACGCCCTCGATCGGTAGATGAAGAAAGTGTATTTTATGAAAAGCGTGAAATCATTGAACGCACGGAGCCTATTGGTGCGATGACCGTATCACGCTCTCATAGTCATCGTAAAGATGAACGCTCAATTCGAGCTGAGATCAAAGCGCTCGAGGCAGAGAAGGAAGCCCTCAAAGCGGATCGACGGGCTAATCGAGAGTTACGACGCGCAGAGCGACTTCGTCGTGAAGGTGCCCGACACAGTGACAGCCAGTTGGTACTTTACGAAGATGAGATTCACGATGGAAGAGATGTGACCATTGTGAGAAGGGAGAGAATCGTGGAGCCTGAAGGAGGTGTTAGGATCGAAAAAGACCGAAAAGGTAGGATGAGCATCAGTGTTCCCAAGCATGCCTATCGTTAGGTGTCTTGCCTGATTGAGGTGGGTCACTTGGCATTGGGATGGATGGTTTTCGTGAATGAGGCTAACCAGCTTGTTCTTCACAGCACCTCCACCAAAATTGGTTAGAGCCATGTTGGCTACCCTTACTTAATTCCTACCATTTGAAAACCAACACATTTCGTTCTTTACGTCAAGCGCATAATGAGCCGAAATGCATTAATAAATGGCGTTGATCACATAGGAATTTCGTGGTTGGATCGGATTGAGCTTATAGGTTTTCTACGCAAGCAGAAATTGTACTTCTTTTTCTATTTCCTTTGAACTTTATGACAGCATGCCTTTTAGACTGTATTTGACATGAAGAGGGATTTCATGGGAGGGATATTGGACAATGAGTTTTGCGATGGTATCTACAGCAGCAAGTTGACGTTTTTACTTTCTCGGTTCGAAGATACACTAGTTTGGTTACGTACAGCTTTTTGATTGCTTCACTCTTCATTCTTTTTATTTTGATGTTTTTTACAACTTTTTGGCTTTATTGATGATGCGACTTACGAAATCTTTTCGATAATTGGTTAATGGATGGATCGATGGACGGGTGGGGAGATGGATAGGTGAATGGGCCGGCGGATGGCTAAATAAATGGTTGGGTGGCGGGCGGGTTTCTACGCCCTGAAATGGTCTATGAAAGGAATATCTAGTGGTAGTTTACGAAAATGAGAAGATGCAAATTTTATGATTATGACTTCGGTTATGGTTATGAGTATAAATATGATTATGATACTCTGATGGTTCTCTAGGTCAGATCTTTATTCAGATTAGATTTTGGAGGGGGATTTTGTATTTATGAAAGGGGGGTTTGGGTGAGGTGTTGAATCATTATTAGTGTCTGGATGGATGGATGGATGGATGGATGGTTGAGTGGATGGATGGATTGATGGATTGATGGATGGATGGATGGATGGATTGATGGATAGTTGATCCTGCTGTTATTTTAATTGTGATTTTTATTTTGCGTTTTGAATCTGAGATTTGAGATTTGAGATTTGAAAGTTGTAAAGAATACAAATTATATAAGTTTTCAAACTAATATGTACATACTCGATTCATATATTTACTCCTTTTATTTTTATAAAACAAACTATGGCTTTAGAATTTTCCAAACTATCGTTGTAAATTATATGGATACCTTTGAATATAGATTATATCATACTTATTCGTAAATGCTTGGTGTGCTCAATATGATAGCATTTTGACCCCGAAGCGCCGCGCTATGCATCCTATCCTAGCCTATCCGTTATAACTCCTTTCCCTTTGATGCAGTCCATATTGATTCATATTCTCCATGTAAACCTTGGATTTCCAAATCTTCTCGGTTAAGCTATCTCCGATTTCTTTGCGTCGTCTCGCTATGCATCCCACCAACTTGCTTTCAGCCTTCATCAACTAGTCCATCCATTGAAACGTAGTATGTCAACTTTGAGCCAATCTAGATTCGAAAATTTGCCCCAATGCCCAACGCCAAAATTCTACTCCTCTCAATTCCACCCCTATTTTATCTTCCTCGCTTTAATATAATCCCTCAACTGCTCCACCCTCGTTACGAAAAACATCCTCTTCGCATCATTCTTCCAAACCAATACTCCTACTTCTTCGGCATATTTCGCACACCCTTCATACTCCTTCTGCCCGTCAAATTCCTTGAACAAAAACCCCGGCACTGCTTTCATTCTCTCGTTTTCCAATTGCCAGAGACGAATTTGATCAACGACCGTAGGTGGTAATACTGGTCCTCCATGAGCTGCAGTAGAGGCTTTGACGAGTTGCGGGTGCGCATGGGTGGATAAGTAGGTGATTATTTGATCGGAAGTGATACCGTGAGATATGGCAGTACGTATGGAATCACGAGAGACGCGGCCGCTGACCATGTTGGGGTATCGAGTGTTAAGTTTGGTAAAGAGTGAGAGGACGGCAATTTGAAGCGGAGAATTTGTGTAGGCGTATAAGCGGTAGTTGGTTTCAATAATTATGAAGCCCTTTTGGTTAGCGGCGGATTTGGAAGCGGCATCGAAACCGGCTGACACGGTACGAAGAGCGCTGGCGTCTGAGGTGAGGGTCGTAGCAAGACGAGTTGGGAAGAACTGTGTGGGAGCGGAAGGAGGGAGGTAAATCAGGCCAAAGTCGATGAGGTTGCCGAGCATATTGTGTTGAGCATCTGTGAGGGTTGTGGTGCTATATGCACGTCCGAGTTCAAGGGAACCTAGCATGAATAGGAAAGAGAGTACATCAACGGAATCCATTCCCATACTCTCAGCATTTTCAATCCATAAAAGAAGTAAAGTCCAGACTTGCGCATTGGCTTCTTGTAATAAAAATGAGAATCCAGCTTGAGTGATACCCACACTTCGCCCTCTTGTAACTAACTTTCCTGCATCGAGTAGTTTCTTAACTGAACCTGCGGGCCCACTTCCTTCCTGCCCGGAACCTGCTGCAACATTATTGACCATATAATGTAGAATCCCCTCCCATTGCATTCGAGCATGTACATCCAAGAAATCTATATCAACGTGTGGCGCAATGTGATCCGACGAAGGAACTCCAAAAGATTGATGATTCCCTCCACCAGTAAGTGCCAGTCGTAAAGAAGTTCCGAAACTTTTAGTCAGAGCTACAGTCTGAGGATCTTCTCGGCTCAGCGCAGTAATATCGACAATATGCAGTCGCGATAGTAAGGATAGGGCTTGATCTTTTTGCCTGTAAGAGTTTAGCTTGCAACATCATCTTAAGCCAGGGTACAAACCTCTTGCTCTTCGGTTGCACCCATTGATCCAGAGCTGTGAGAGGTAAAGGCTTGGGCATATAGAGTAGTGCCATCACAAAGGATTTGGCAAGATGAGGGAGCATACGCCTAAAAATGGCCAAAGAAGTGGAAGGTTGTTGATATAGTCGTCTAAAAGTTGTACCTGGTAATCTTTCCAGGTACTCAAAAGAAGCAAGAGTTGATACAGACATATTAAAAGTACTTCTTTCGTATTGTCCGTAGTATCATGAATTCATCATTGCTGGTAAGAAATTCAAGAAATTCAACAGCCTCGCAGGAGCAAGTAGCCTGGTGGTGGAGATTTTGAGCTTGGACCACCACCATCACCATGTCTTTGTTCCCTCCGGGGAAACATCGGTCCGGGAGCAAACGGATTTGAAGAGTGAGGTATCTAAAATCTAATGACATTTATTAATTCATATATCCACGTCTCAACTCCACCATTACTCTTCCAATATGGCTGCCCTAAGATTCGTGAGATCAGTGAGTGGCTGTCATACAACCAAAAATGTACTGATGCTGATATCGCTACCTTTTGCCTAGGTTCTGAAATCATTTCAGGAATCATCGGGACTTGAGCCGAGGTACTGTTTTCTATACATTCTTGGTTGTCACTTATTATAATACAGCTCCGGACCAGGCTCATTACAAGTGTTTAGCCGTCTATCAGTTTGAGCAAAAGGGCTTTCAGCCAGTATCTGAGTCAATCTAGGACAAATGGTTAAAGATTGCTGTCCATCGGGCCTCCTCAACATCATGTAACATTGTACTTCTCTGTACTAGATAAATCTAGAACGTCTTTTGCTTCTATCTTCGTAGCACCGGTCTTGCAAAAATCCTGACTGACATTCGACTGTAGACTTTTCGGTGAAAATGTAAGGTGCCATGGCATATTGTCATTAATTTGAATATCATTGAAGTTTCTGAATTGACCTTGAATAGCTTCGAGTCACAGGAGCAGAGCCAGGACGTGTGGATTTTGAGCTTGATATCAAGAAGGAGCATACTGTAAGGAAGCTCTGTCAACCATAATGCCCTTTCATTCATTTATTCTATACTAGAACCGTTTAAATATCATTCATGGGGGTACAATTGCTAGCATGGTGGACCTAGGTGGCTCACTAGCTGTTGCGTCAAGAGGTCTTTATGCTACCGGTGTTTCCACTGATTTGAATGGTAAATGTCCTATGCCTGCAATACAGTTCCAATTCTGTTATCTAATTCAAGTCCAGTCACATACCTCAATTCTGGTGGTAAAGTTGGAGACGTATTGAAAGCGGTAGTGACTTGTGACAAATGTAGGGTATTTTCTCATCACTGTTACCGTTCATATCTCTAACATAAGTTAGTCGGAAAGACGTTAGCGTATACTTCTATTCAGTTCACGAATAGCAAGGGCGAAGTAGCAGCACGAGGAAGTCACACAAAGTCGGTCTTCACTTCAAATATTTCGGGTTGTCAAACTAAACAAATTCATAACAGATACGTCGCACTCGCGTGGAAGGAACCAAAAAATATAGTTGAGGAACTGTCACCTCGTCCTTAAAATGCCCACGTGCATCAGCCTTATATGTACGATGCGATACGTTTGCTCTAAGCTTAAAGTCATTTGTGTTCAAATCATCATTGGCAAGCGTCTCCTGAACGCGGAAATATAATTTTAAGCCCGACCCGACAATTTGGTCCCAGAATTATGGTTCAGGTCACCAGGGCATTGGAGATTTGTTTAAAATTGTGGCTTTTCTCGGATTTGCAAGCATATGCAATTTATCATGGGATGATTCATTATTTCTGCTAGGATTTTTCAATTATTAGGTGAATTTACTGTGGTTGATTGGTTATTAGAAACTCATTCAAGTACCTGATGCATTGTTTGACCCCACGAAATTGTCCAAGAACAAGCTGTCGGGTTCTTTTCATAGGTCATGAGGACTGCAGCAGACATTAAAAGAGCACGTTACACAGCTTGTGATCTAGCTAATGATTGGATTAACACTACTCTACGAGGAATTACACACTTTTACCACGGCACAGTGTCAGACCGGTTACAAAGCAGAATGTGAAATTACATAGGCTAGCTACTCGACACAGCTCTTTCATTTGTGTCATCAATTTTTGATATTCTTAAGCTCTTCCATGCCCCGCATTGTCTTTGGCAGATATTTGTGTAAGTGGCTTAAGCCGTAGCGGTGTGTCTTCGGCGTTTGTGATGGTTTGAAGACTTAGTAGTGATGAGACAAGAGTCTGAACGGAAGGATTGGCTTGCTTGGCCAATCATCCCATCTCCCGGTGTAGCAATTTGATGGTAACATTCAGTGTTGCCTTACATGCACCATGATTTGAACCCTTTGGAGTAAATTTGTTATACGACTCGCGTTGGGTGCATTGTACATATAGATAGCTCTCGTATTCACGCAGAATTGAACATGTCAAGTCCATGCAGCATAGGTATCGCAAAGCTACGGAAATTTAATCTTTCGCCGAGGAATTACCCCAGATTTACTTCGAGGACAGATGAATGTAGTAATCAAACTCGAATGGGTGGGTGCAGCTAGATCATGCACCTCGCCTTAAATCGTTTCACACTATAGCGAATCAATTCTACTCATACCGTATTTTGGCGCATTTCAACGAATTAACGAATCTGTATGAGCATGGGTCTCTCATTCACTAAATTACCCCAATATCAAACTTAAGGGTTTGGTTCAGCACGTGTAGACAAGCAAAACACTAAGTGAATACGGCAGCATATGAGTGGTAAATTACCTACTGCCCTACCTCAGGTAGCTCAAATTCGTTGCTACTTAAGCAGTTCAAAAGTCCAGGTTCGAAGATCCAGCTTACAACACAACACAACAACAACCTCAACACGCCTTTACATTTTGATATATCTTCAATCTTCAGCACTATTTCATCGAGGAGTCGTTCACTCAATCATAATGTGGTACACTACTAATGTTTATGTTATTTGCGCCTTCGCTGCAATAGGTAAGTAGTTCCCCTCGGATGGAAGGCAAGAACAATTAGTAATATCTACAGGCGGTGGCCTTTTCGGCTTCGACATATCTAGTATGTCTGGTGTTCTTGGAACGCAAGCATACGTCAGATACTTTAACAATCCTCAGTCTTATAGTCAAGGAGGAATAACCTGTGCTATGCCTGCTGGATCTCTCATCGGCGCTCTGTCCTCCTCCTTCATCGCCGATAAATGGTCTAGACGGGCAAGTATTCAAATCGCATCGGTCATTTGGATTCTTGGCTCAATGTAAGTTTCTATTTACAGCTACATAAACGAAACTAATATCCTGTACAGTATTCAGTGTGCTTCAGTCAATGTAGCCATGCTGGTTGTTGGTCGAGTCATTGCTGGTATTTGTGTTGGTATTGCTTCTTCGATCTGTCCTGTCTACCAGTCTGAGATTGCACCAAAAGAAATTAGAGGTAGAGTTGTCTCCCTTCAACAATGGGCAATTACATGGGGTATTCTCATCCAGTACTTCATTCAATATGGTGCTTCGACAATTGGAGGTGGCGCGAACAATCCAGTAAGTACGATGTCATTTTGGAAGAGCTAGCTTACTAACAAAACTCTTTCCACAGAACCAACCCACTTCTGCATTTCGAATTCCTTGGGGTGTACAAATTGTTCCAGCAGTTATTCTCTTCTTCGGCATGTTCTTCCTACCGAAATCTCCTAGATGGTTGGCATCCAAGGATAGATGGGAAGAGGCCATTAAGGTCATTGCGAACCTTCATGGTGGCGGTGATGTCAACCACCCAAAGGTTCTCGCGGAATATCGGGAGATTGAGGAGGCACTTCGATTCGAACGCGAGGAAGCTATCAGCTCTTACAAGCAGCTTGTAGCCCCACGAATGATCAAGCGTGTTATCTTGGGAATGTCTATCCAAATGTGGTCTCAGCTTTGTGGAATGAACATCATGATGTACTACGTCGTCTGTAAGTATTAAGCACCGGTATGATACGATATGCCACTAATGATTCTTTTAGACATCATGCAGGGTGCAAACATTGCCAACCCCCTCGTCACTGCCTCAATTCAGTACATTCTAAATGTGATGTTGACTTTACCTGCAATCATCTATCTTGATCGCTTCGGACGTCGCCCGGCCATGCTCATTGGTTCCTTTCTTATGATGACCTTTCTTTTCGTTGCTGGCGGACTCCAAGCAGGCTACGGCGAACCTAACAACACAGATAGGACTCGGACTGAGCAGAACCAAAATCTTACGTGGGTCGTTCACGACAAGAAAGCTGTATCATCTGCCATCGTCGCTATGACATACCTATTTGTTTGTGCATTTGCAACAACCTGGGGACCATCATCGTGGACCTACCCAGCCGAAATTTTCCCAAATAAGATTCGTGCAAAGGCTGTCTCTCTCGCAACCTCGGCAAATTGGTTCTGGAATTGCGTCCTCGCTTTCGCGGTTCCGCCTCTGCTGAAGAACATCAACTGGAAGATGTACATGATCTTTGCCACATTCAACGGACTTGCTTATATCCACATTTTTCTTACAGCACCCGAGACTAAAGGCAGAACACTCGAGGAGATGGACGCCGTTTTTAATAGCGGTTTGCACGCATGGCAGTCCCTTCCAAAGGAGTCGAGGTTGGATAAATTGGCGAAGGACATTGAAGAGGGAAATCTCAAGGTTGTAGCTCCCATTGGTGGTGCTGGTAGAGTTGGTGAGGTTACTGATGAAAAGAACATTCATCACAACGACGGTACACTTGCTCCAAATCACGCTGATCATAATCATGGCGTCACTGACATACAGCATGGTCATCATCAAAATGATGAGAAGAACGTTCGCGGGCGCGACGCGGCAATCTAACTATGTGGGCAAACGTCACGATACGTTAAAGGATGATTGCTAACGGCATCTCTCCTCTTTCCTCTTGAATACCTAGTGATGGTCTTTAATTAGTAATATAATCTTCCATAAGAAGATTCCATTCTTGGGCAGGGTTTATGGCCTTAGCCAAGATTTATGGATTGTAGCATGATTTTTACGAAGAATCTAGGACAGAAATTGACAAATTCATTTGATTTCAACAGAACTTGACAGAACGTGACAATCATGCTCAACAAAGTGAGATGAATCTAATCATGCCTCCCATCGTGCTCACTTAAACTTTTGTTAGGTATGCAAAGTATAGATATTTTTGAAATGCAAATCCGAATTCGAAATATATATTCAGTTTCAGAACTTGGAAGCAAGGAATGATTCGTCATGTGATGCGGGGAGCTAACCATTCTCAACGTCATGATTATTAGCTTCGATCCGCGCAGCTCATTCAGATACATAGATCCAGGAAAAAAGAGCTTGTAGCCATGAGCTATCGAGTTAAGCGCATGGCCGATTGAATTTATTCCTTGGACGCAAGAGAGGTAAGCTACATGTACACTTTCCAGGTAGGAGAATTTCATTCATGTACGCTCTCTCCATTTTCAATCCCATTATTGAATGTTTATTTCTTTCTTCCCTCACCTGCGCCTCGGCAGACACTTTACATATTTTTTAGTTCAAAGAGCCAGCTCTGGCAGTGTACGCAGAAATTCATCACTTCATCAAGGCACTTTTCAAGCCAAAACTCTAGATATGCCACCTAAACGAAAGAGATCCTCAGTGGCGACCACGCCCAATGTCGATGGTACTTCGACTCAAATCCTCCCTCCGAGTCAATCTACTACAACCAAGCCGCCACCTGCCAAACCGTCGCGGCAATCGTCTCGCAGAGACAAATCTGATACGAACCCCGAGCACAATGCAGATATTATAGATAGCAAGATAGCACTTCGCGCAAGCCCAGATGCTGATGACTCCGAGGAATCTTTTGACTTGAAGAAAATTAAGGTAGAATCAACACCAGCAAAGGAGAATGGTGTGAGGAACCCTGTCAAGAATGAGGATAGTGATTCGCCACTTTCAGATATTGGTGATGACCTTCCAGCGCCCACACCTGCTAAGAAACAGAAGAAAGCACCGACGAAGAGCTCAATTGCTGCGAAGAAAGGGTCGGATGAAATAAAAGCTTTTGTAGCGGAACAAGCAGCTAAAAAGGCTACGGTGAAGAAAATAAAAAAGGAAGATGACGGGGATGAATGGAATAAAAGGGATGGCCTCGACGGAGATGAGGAAGGGCAGATGGAGGATGCTGATGATATAAAACTGGAAGCGAGGAGACCACCTCCTGTCAACAGTGACTATTTACCTCTACCATGGAAGGGGAGATTAGGATATGTAAGTTTCTACCTCACTGCACTAGCTTCAAACGACTGACCTTTAAATCCAGGCATGTCTGAATACTTACCTTAGATCATCAAACCCTCCTGTCTTTACGTCTCGGACCTGCCGTATAGCTTCCATTATCGAACATCGCCATCCATTGAAAGATCCTTCACAGCCTGAGCATGCAACCAAGAATCGACCAGATAAATCGAAGCCAGCTTCTATCGTGCGAGGACAGCGATACGTCGAAGAATTGTGCCTGGCAAATGTCCGAGACTTACCAAAAATGTTTCGATGGAATGAGAAATATGGGATTAAATTCATGAGATTGAGCTCGGAAATGTTTCCGTTCGCTAGTCATGCTGAGCATGGCTACAAGCTTGCCCCTTTTGCTAGCGAAGCTCTTGCGGAAGCTGGGAAAGTTGTAGCTGAGTTGGGACATCGAGTCAGCACACATCCTGGACAAGTAAGTTAACATATTTTGCCGTGGAAGTAAACACTGACAAGCATGCAAAGTTCACGCAATTGGGTTCTCCACGTCCAGAGGTCATTGCAAATGCGGTTCGAGACCTTGAATATCATGATGAAATGCTCGGACTACTTAAACTACCAGCTCAAATCGACAGGGATGCAGTTATGATCTTACACATGGGAGGTACATTCGGCGATAAAACTGCCACACTCGATCGCTTCCGTGAAAATTATGCTAAACTTTCACCTTCCATCAAACAACGGCTCGTCCTAGAAAACGATGATGTATCATGGACTGTTCATGATCTCCTTCCAATCTGTGAAGAGCTTAATATTCCTCTTTGCCTCGATTTTCACCACCACAACATCATGTTCGATTCTAGTCAAGTTCGTGAAGGCACTAGGGATATCATGGATCTCTTTCCTAGAATTAAAGCTGGATGGACGAAAAAGGGTATGACGCAGAAAATGCATTATAGCGAACAGACTCCCCAGGCCATAACTGGTCGTCAGAGACGAAAGCATAATCCTAGACCAGCAACCCTTCCGCCCTGTGCAAATGATATGGATTTAATGATTGAAGCGAAGGATAAAGAGCAGGCGGTATTTGAACTAATGAGGACATTCAAATTACCGGGATATGAAAGATTTAATGATATTGTACCATATGAGAGAGACGATGATAATCGCGTTCTACCAAAGAAGCCCAAGAAGAAAAAGACTAAGAAGCAAATCAATGAAGAGATTGAAGAATTTGGTCACGAGGTTGAAGAGGAGGAGGAACCAGTTAAGGATATAATACCAGAGGAAGAAGTTGGCATGGGAGGAAAGGATAACCGTGTATATTGGCCAGTAGGTATGGAAGAATGGTTGACACCAAAGAAGCGAGAAATCAAGAAGAAAGGCTCTGAAGGGGATGAAGAAGAGGAGATGTTCAAGCACCCTACACCTGCAAATTTTGAGGCCAGGAAAAAAATTACTGAAAGAAAGAAGATGCCTTTTGATGAAGGGATCAAGGAGAAATTGGCGAGCGCAGAGTGTTTAAATGATGTGATGGAGGTAGTAGAATTAGTGAAGAGTTCACAAGCTAAGGTAGACGAGAAGGCGGAAGTTAATGGGTTTGCAGAGGGACCTGGTGGCTCTTCTAAGAAGAGTACGCCTGCCAAGAAGAAGGCAGCACCCATGCCAGCAAAGAAGAAGAATGCGAGAAAGGTTCAAACGCCTAGTGCGAGCGTTTCGAACGAAGATGAAGATGAGGACGATGATTTGAGTATGCCTGATTTATCGGCCGATGATGAACTGAAAAAACCGGCTTTGAAAGCTAAACCGGCAAGACAGAGTGGTAGAGCTGCGGCTAAGAAGAAGAGTTACGTGGAAGTGGATGGGGATGAGGATGAGGATGGAGATGAGTAGATTATTCAAGTATATATGTTTCTGGTTATAAAGTGGATATGTTTACTATTATGTTCTTGTTATCTTGTATATTACCACATCTGTACTATTATTATTCTCATATCTGTATCAAAAATTCCTACCCTACGCATTTCATCAGAATCTTGCATTCGTGATCATTTCCCCTTCTTTCTTTCCTTCCTTCTTTATAACCGTTATAGGTAGATATCGTTATTGAAAATATCAAATTGTCTTTTTCATACAATCATATTATTTCCTGAAATTTGAATATACGCAGGAGAAGATAATGATTAAATATCGTATATACTAGTAATACACTCAAATCTGGTAATCCCCTGTTTGTAAATATATTACTATATTTTTGAAAGGTTTGGAGTGCAGTGGAAAATGCGGCAGGGAAGTTGGATCGTCGTGATGGTGGTGGTGTTATACTGGCCTTGGATGGAGGGCAGGGGGTGGTTATTCTTTTGTTTCTTGTGGATGTAGAAATTGAGGGATTGTTGGAGGTAGGTAGGTGGGTATACAATAAGAAGCTTTTTTTATGGCTGTTGATGTAATTGTTTGATATTAGGTTGGGGGTTTTTGGTGGTGGGTATTGAGTATGTATTCGTCTGCGGATTTTGGGTTTTAGATGGATGTGGATGTGGATGGATTGTCGAGGTGAGAATTGAGATCGGAGTGGGGTTATTTGGGGATGAGGATAGGGGAATGATGTTAGGGGGGTGGGTAGTGAGTAGTTTTGAATTTATGGAAGTATCGAGAGGGGTTTGGGAGGTTTGAGACAGGGTAGGTGGGAGTATATGCTGGATACCTACGTAATGCAATTTTTGTGTGATTTTTTTTGGTACGCTTTGGATTCATTTTGTTGCTGTTTCAGTGTTTCGATTGGAAGGTTGGTTGTGTGTAGGGTACAGAATGGTATATTTGATGATTGCCATTTATTTTTGAGTAGTGAGTGAGTGGTACTGAAGTTCAAATAGTTCAAATGGCTTGAATAATGATCATTTCCCTGCCCCTCCCTCTCATCCGCTTTGGAGATTGTTGGTGATCACTCTTGGAGTATATTTGAGTCGAAATGGTGATTCACTCCGTGGGAATTCATCATACTTTGCCTTTATACAGATTTTAATGATAGATGATATTGAGTCTAGAAGACTCACCTGATGATGTCTGTGTATAGATGTTGTTACATGTTTGTATACGACGATTGTGCTATTCTATAGCAGTTGTAATGTATTATGGAAACGCGGGAAGTGGTCAAGAGATCACTACCCTACTTCTTGGATAGTCTTTGCACGTATAAATGATTAAGGATGCTGATCATCCAAGTAATATAGCTCCGCGTTGCATTGACACTTCTTATTGTCCTTGGAGATATTGATCATTCTTGCCAACGTAAATATGATTACTTCAAACTATACGTGCATTGTATCGACTCTATATGCGCCTTACATAAACAATAGACAGCTATGCAAACGCTAACAAAATACTCATCACTTCATACATCTATATCTTCTACTGCCAAAGCATATAAAGCAGAGATTTCCACCCGCATCTGTCACCGTCTTAAAAACGAACAACACAAATGATACATAACATGAAGGCTCATACCGACCACATCACTACCTCCTCATCCATCAATGTCCAAACAAACTCTTGTTCCAGAACTCGATCATAACCTTCCCAAAAATATCCTATCATCCCACCCCCACATCCACAAAAACCGCATTCACTCCCCGAAGAATGCAAAAATAAATGAACAGAGGGGGATTCGAACCCCCGCGGGCTAAGCCCATGAGAATGCTAGTCGATTTTACATCAACCAAGCTTAGCAGCTTGAGTCACACGCCATAACCACTCGGCCATCTGTCCTTCATACATGTTATACTGAAAGTAGCACATCAACCTTCAAGACCCCTCCAAAATTCGCATGCGCAATAAACGAATAATAAAGCCGCATGAAGAAAAACTCGAAAAAGAAAAAAAAAAAAAGTGTCGGGAACATCCACAAAAGCAAGATGGATCCAGCGGGGCATTCTGCACTAGAGAAATGGTAATGGATACTGCTAGTCAAAGCTTTGAGTAAAAGAAAGATACATAGTAGGAAATGCATGTTCAGGTATCAAGGTGGGTGGAGCCCAAGAGTCAAAAGTGCAAAAATTCATATCTGGACGAAGGGATTTGAGCCCAACGGGGGGGTCGAACCCCCAACCTTGTGATTAAGAGTCACACGCTCTACCGATTGAGCTAGCCGGGCAGGCTATATATGATAGATGTTTGTTGAAGCAGTGGACGTCAATCAAACTGTTATTGCTAGAGGTTAGAAGTGAAAAATCTTTAAAGAGTTTTCGAGGAGGGTTTGAGGATAAGCGAGGGGGTGTATTTTACCGTAGTTTATGTTGGTAGGAAGCACGGTCCATTCATTAATCAGGCATGCTGTAGTAGATAGTGGATTGTACATCACCTTAAAGATTTTAAGATTACTCATGTTTAAAGTTTATATAAAGTGGAATTTGAGTTGTTGATTAGGAAGAATATTCACTTGCATAAAGTCAGGATAAAAGATACACGTTTTGAGATTTAATGTTCAGGATTGAACAGTAATGATCTTTTAACCTTCATTTTCACCAAGAGTAAGACAACCTGTAGAAGCTTGAATATCCCATGAGACAAATGCTTGGATATCTATCGTTAAGGTGAGCAGCCATAGTAAAAGGACTAACATGGGCTGAGACTATTTGAAGGGGAAGGCAGTGAAAAAAAAAGGTTAGGCAGCCAAAACCAAAAGCTTGATTAGAAAACATACAACAGTAGGGATTCGCTGGTGGTCACCCACCCAACTACTAATCTACCGATCTGAGGCTTGTGTATGGCAGAGCGGACGGGATGCCCAATTCTCCTCAGTCTATGGTCGTATGTGAGTGAATCGGTTTAACATGTGAATATAGCCGACCTTTTTGTGATGCTTACAGATTTTGTTGAATGTCGAGTGTTGAGTCCGTCGCACGCTGACAATGTGGCATCGTAGGAATCTTATGTACTTTCATACTGGCCCTGTTAATGCTACATAACATAATTCCACCGTTACATTTCAATAATTGTGGCGCTCGTATCTGTCGGAATTTATCAAGAGATTCATTGTCCAGGCTTATTTGCCAGGTTGTTTATGGGAATGGTAACCTGAGATTTGATAATATTAAATCGTGGTCGGTATCCTTGTTGAGATGAAATTTGGCCGTTGACATTGATATCGGCTTCATTAAATGACTTCTATTTTCGATCACTTATATCCTCGAACAGACCAACATATGAGTGAATCTATTTCTTTCACTGTCATCTTTCTAGCTTTTCTTTCTGGCTGATTCTGAAGTATGGGGAGAGCTTCATATGTGTTACTGTACTGTAACATTTTCAGATGAACTCCTGATGGCAGTTTACACGACATTGATGCTGCTTAAATGAATCATGATAGTCGTCAAAGCACAATCTGAGGCTTTATGCAAAACATCTCAAGTTATATAGTCCGTATGTTGTGATCTTACGAACATGCTTCTCTCTCCATGACTTTATGATCTACCCCACTATTTCTACTTTTGCAAAGAAATTGGTTCGTCCATTCCGGAGTAGACCTTAATTCCTTGATAAATGGGACAGGTTTCTCATTATTGGAATCTCGTGAATTTTTCCCGGGCCCTGGACTTTTCCCTTCCAATAATGCCATGATCGTTGCCACGCGAAGGGAGATCAGACATGTTCAGTATCACCATAGGGTTTTTGGAAAGCATCAGCACCGGAGTCAAGTTATCATCAGATACTCCGTCCGGGAAATATAAAACAGAAATATTCAGCGTGTCTCTTTTTCTGTTCCCGTTGTCAGATTTTAAACGTTGCTGGATTGTGTGAATTGATTTCTTTTTCTCACTCTATCATTCCTTCATCATTTTTGAAGGATACGATCGATACTTTAAGCCGTTACATAGGAAAGAGTCATGTTCTATTTTCATATCATCATCTTGCTATGGAAGGTTTGTTATCCCTCTTTCCCTTTCTCTTCCCTGAATCATAACCAACCAAGCTTCGTAAGTCCCTCTTGAACTACTATTCTTGTTACGAACTAAGGACTGCAAGCGAGAAAAGACAACTTAATGGAGAACTCCATAGTCCCCATGTTTGACACTTGACCAATCATATTGATAAATTTACGAAACGGTACCTGAATGTGGATCTCTTTCTAGAAAGCTTCTCATCCAATAATTATCAAGTAATCATGGAAATTTCCTAAAGAAAGCAGTAAAGGTGGCTCAGTCAATCTTTACCCCTGAGCTAAAGCTTGTCGGTTTCGGCTTGGTCCCCAAGCTTTTCCACTCCTGCTTGGTCTAACTTGCCCACGGCCCCACCAGGACCGCTGATCCCTGACGGACCCCTGGTGATTCCAGACTCAGTTCCGAGCAAGTAATAATCTTTTTCTTCTCTCTCTTCTCTCTCTCTCCAATGGCTCATCCCCTGTTCATACTATCCTCTGTAGAGATATTCCGATAGCCGTGTCGATTCTAATGTCTTCATACCACGCACGCTCATTTCTTGTCTTGCCTCTTGACTTTATCTCTTTTCATACAATCTTTTATCCTACTCATACCTGTAATACGCACATTTTATACACCCAAAAGTCATTTCCATATTCCAGATTCACCCAACCCTCATTTTACCTCCATCTCTCACATTCGCTCTTTTGCTTCAATCTTGAATATTTGCACCTGTTAAATAACGACTAGCTTCTACAGCTTTGACCATACTTCTATTCGTTCCAGGTAGACCCTAGGCCATATTATTGTCATACAGCTTTCCCACCTACTCTCTAGTCAAGGCCTCAAACCTTCGACACCTAATCATAGAGACAGCTCAACATACAATTGGAATACCATTCCACTATAATATAATAGATATCGACGTCGAATAGAGAATCATTCTGAGTTAGGAGATTTGGGATTCCCGGCGGCATACAAAGGCGGTTTTCCGCAGTGCCAATCCACACCGTCGCCATGATGTTACGGCCAATCTCAACCTTTTCAACTCTTTCCTTAATCTTCTTGGGAGCTCTGCCGGGCAGAGTTCTCGCAGGCCAAACCCTCACGACAACAGGCTACACATCATGTCTGGCCGACTCGACGGTGTCGGTGCAGAAGATGGCCGTTACGTACGATAATGACGCGAAGACAATCACCTTCGATGTGGCCGGAACGAGTACCCGGTCTCAAAATGTGAGCGCTGAAATCAATGTTACTGCGTATGGAATTTCAGTCTATTCAAAGTCTTTCAACCCATGTGATTCTTCTACATATATACAGCAATTATGTCCGAGTAAGTTTGGTCTCCTTTTATTAAGCTAGAAGAACGATCAAAAACTAACTCTCTCATGATAGTCCCCGTGGGAGTTTTTGCTGCATCCGGAACACAAGCCGTCCCAGATCAATATGCCTCGATGATTCCCGCCATCGCTTTCTCGGTACCCGATATTTCCGCTGTAGCTACGATCGAACTCAAGGATTTGAATACTTTAGCTGAAGTTGCTTGCGTGCAAGCAGATGTCACCAATGGAAAAACCACTGCCGTCGCTGCCGTATCCTATGTTGCAGCAGCCGTAGCCGGAGCTGCTGCTGTGGTCGGTGGAGTTTCTGCACTCGGTGCTGCAGCTAGTGGAGCCAGTGGAGCAGGAGCAGCTGCATCTAGTCCTTCGTTTATGGAATGTATGACTTGGTTTCAAGGCATGGCTATGAATGGAATGATGTCCGTCAAGTATCCTCCGGTTTATCGACAATTCACCAAGAACTTTGGATTCAGTACTGGACTTATCCCTTGGACCGCTATGCAGCAATCGATTGATAGTTTTCGAGCTGCTACTGGAGGTAATTTGACTAATGATAGCGTTACGTATTTGAAAAATGCTACGCTGGTATTTGCGGATGGATCAACTGATACTCCAAGACGATCATTATTCTCGAGCTCTGTCCTCGACGCCCGAGATGTTGTGACGTCAGTCAACGGAACAGGTACTTCTAGTGGCACCACTGATACCGCGGCGATTATCGAAGAAAAAGTAGCAGGAATCAAAGCCTACGTCGAAGAACTTTCCGTTCCCCAAGCCAACACTTTCATGACGGTTCTTCTTATCGTTGCATGTATTATCGCCGCCATTGTCGTCGCAGTCCTCGCTTTCAAGGTGCTCCTCGAGACCTGGGCTCTCTTTCGATCTTTCCCTGAGAGTCTCACTGGATTCCGAAAACATTACTGGCAAACCATGGCTCGTCTCACTGTGCAATTAATCCTCGCTCTCTACGGTTCATGGGTGCTCTACTGTATATTCCAATTCACCAATGGAGATTCTTGGGCCGCCAAAACACTCGCGGCTGTAACGTTAACTATCTTTACTGGTGTTCTTGTATTCTTCGCTTACAAGATTTCCACGGCGGCAAAGATCATGAAGGAGAGAGATGGAGATGTATCGGGATTATATGAGAAGAAGGATAACTGGCTCAAATACAGCATGTTTTACGAGAATTACAAGAAGGATTTCTGGTGGTTGTTCGTTCCAGCTATTATTTACATGTTCGCAAAAGGATGTGTATTAGCTGCAGGTGATGGACACGGTCTGTCTCAAACTGTTGCTCAACTCATCATTGAATGTCTAAGTAAGTACTCCATTCCAAAATCATAAGCACTTCATCCTAACTCGTGTACAGTGCTCTCCCTTCTCCTATGGAGTCGTCCGTATGAGAGAAAATCCGCAAACGTAATCAACATGTTCGTTCAAGTCGTTCGTGTCCTTTCCGTAATATGTATCCTCGTCTTTGTCGAAGAACTCGGTATTGCCGAAACCACCCAAACAGTCACCGGCGTCGTCCTCATCGCCATTCAATCTGTTCTTACCGGTACCCTCGCCATCCTCATCGGTGTAAACGCTGTCATCTCCATCATCAAACAAAACCCCCATCGTAAACGTCGCAAGGAAGCCGGTAAGTTTCTCTCCCTTCACCATTCCTACCCCTAAAAATAAAAGGCAAACTAACTCCCACAGAAAAACTTAATCGCGACCTCGACAACCTCACTCCCCTCGATGCCCGCAACTCCCTGCTCATGGACTCCAAATCCAGCATTCATTCCTACGATGCCGATCCCAAACACCCCTATCTACACTCCACGCACGAAAGCCACGAGCCTTCAAGTTTCATGAACGAGCCTGCAAACCCGTACTCGCGCAGTCGGGAGAATCTCGTGGAGGGCGCGGCGCCCGTGGCCGGAACCCCTCATCAGAGTCGTCAGCCTACGGTGCCGGATATGAATTATGGGGGTGGGAATACCGGGGCTTATAGGGGGATGGCTTATTAGATGATTATGTGGGATTAAAGCGTAAGGAGCTTACGTGGAAGGAAGAAAGGAAAGGGAGGAAATAAATCTAGAAAAGAAATAAAGGAGAGGAAGGAAAGAGGAAGAATACCGTATCTTCATACATAACTTGAAGCATACACACATACCTTCCCTTCTCATCTCATTCATCTCAACGCATCTCATCTCATCTCACTATCTAACCAAACAGCTTGCAAGCGAGCCTCGGACGAAAAGAGAGGAGAGAAAAAAAGAGAACGATATGATATGCTATACCCATTGCAACATTAGCATTATAAGTCTTACATTATACACAAGATAACGATTTCCTTGCGTCATTTAGCGTCACAAAATTCTCTATTTTATTTTTTTTTACTTTTTTTCCCCCAAACCTGTTTTTTTGTCGATATGTATGTAGGATTCTTCTTTGTATAGGATAGGATTTGGTTGGATAGTATGGGATAAGATAGTATAGCAAGAAAGGAAGTAAATGTTAGCTCTATTGTATGTTGTATTTTGTGTTATGGTGAAACTTGAAGATATGAGTGAGTGAGTAAGTAGATATGGAAGTAAGTAGCTGCAAACGAAACCGAATGTGTGTAGTGAGTGTAATATAATATGATTGGTTTTCATTTGGTGCTTATATGTGTGTATATATATATATGCTAGATATAGATAGATGAATAGATGGTATATACCCTCTTTTTCGTTTGTTTATTTTTGCATTTATTTTTTCATGTTTACTTTCATTTTTTGGTTTTTGAGAATTTTTTTTTGGCGGGTTGGGGGGGGGGGCGGTTTCTTTTCAGGGAGCTGGCTGTGTGTGGTGGGTGGTATGTGGATGTGATAGTAGTGTATTAATTGTAATTATTAATTGATTGATTGATTAGATAATACTGCGAATGTGGATGTGAGTGTGAGTTGAAGTTGAAGTTGAAGTTGAAGTTGAAGTTGAAGTTGGGGGGATGTGAATTTGTTGTTTGATTTAGTGGAGGGAGGGAGGGAGAGATGTAGTAATGAAATTATAATATATGTTATGGTTAATTAATCAATTCTATCAACTAATTATGTCCCAACCAAACCCAAACCAACCAACAATCACTACCAGAAGACCAGCATACTCTCGCCCCCATATCTCAATATCTACCTATCTACCTACCTACCTACCCCAATCTCAATCTCACATTCAAATATAACCAATCCAATCCAATCATAACCAACTTCTCCGCATTCAAGTATTAAACATATCTCCACATACATAAGAGATCTAGCTATTACAAACATATACACTCCAAACAACAAACCACACACAAAAAAGCCCTAAGAGCCAGAACTCACTTCACAAAGTATAAAGTATAAAGCCCAAATGAACAAACCATACCTTTTTCCTTCTCCTTCTCCTCAGATATACATACATATATACATATATATAACAAGGAAGAAAATGGACAATCTTAAACGCTTGTATAAATGTATAAAAGTTATCTGAAGAGAGGAAAGGAATCTTTTATTGCTGCTTTGCAGTTTTGTATGAAAGATAGATAGATGGATGGATGTGATGGATAGTATAGATGAGTATCTACTAAGATTACAATATAAGAAATTCAAGCTCTAACTCGAATGATGGAAGTGCTTCATATTACTGGATGGAGATTTTTCACGACGGTAACATTGTAGAGGCTAGACTATGGTTACATGGTGTATCAAGTCATATCCCTCCCCTTTGTCTCTTTATCTAGATCGTACTTGTCTTTGTCATACATAGATTTTGGACATGGGTAAATGTAATCCATACGATTTCCATGTAACATCAGGAAGATCTCAAGATTTCTCCGCAAGCTCGAAGTTCTCTAGTGTAGCAACCTTGTTTTTACTGGGAAAACTCATTAAACTATTGATATATAGCAATTGGATAATCTTCCACCCGGTCGAGTAGCTGTGCAATAACAATAATAAGATCCCGGCCGTTAATGTTCCAAACGGACTGTGTCCAAAGGATCCATTGACCCAACGACCTAATTGTACACGAGAACAGCTTTAATATTGGCATAACCACAAGAAATTACACCATGACCAAACTAGTAGAAACGCATGAACAGCGTGACGCCAAGACTATCGTAATTCACGATAAGTTTGGCACGTTACTTTCAAATGTCACAGCAATAGCCATCATCCACGGGAATCAACATGGTAAAAGCTTGTAGAACGTTAAAAATAACGCCAGATGCAAGACATGAGATTTATCACTCCACGTGATGATGCAACATTCCCGGATGAGCTATCTGAATGAGGTCGATCCACTAGAATAGATCGTCAATATTAAAGATCAGAAAAATGAAGCATTTTTCACGAATGAATCATGAAAATACCGGGACTTCTCGATAAATTACTTCGGCACATTGTGAAGCTCATACCCAATCACATGTCAGATATTGTCTTCAACTTCTTTCCATGGCCGCGCGCTTCCAGAGAAGATAAGGAACACCAGAAACTTCACATCTTGTTGAATGGAATGGTCAACAGATGAAGTTTGCAACCCAACAGCGCTTAGATTAAGTTTATTGTTTGAGATGTCAATATTTGACTGTGGCCAATACATTGATGGTTCATCTCATCTGCATACATCTCCTTTTCATCTTCTGAAATCACACTCGGACTATCTGAGAAAATGATTCAACGATAGATGAAGTGAAAAAAAAAAAAAAAAAAAAAAGTGATGCGACTGACTCGAGAAAATAGGAAACTTCCCTAATGTACGGTAACAAATCAAGAAGGGGGGTTGTGCAAAGAAACTGCATCGACTTCATCTGTGGTACACGCTCAACTTTTCGTATTTTGGGCTAAAAATTTCCGAAAAGAATGCTTGTGTGTGGAGCATTAACCAACTAATCTCCATACTGAGCAGCCACATCCGTGATCTCTGCTACAACCTGCATCAAAAATCTTGAAAGATGGATGGTCTTGTCCTAATGTTCCCAATGTTCCCTTCATTCGGTCAGTGTGATTACTGTTCGAAGTACATATATAATCTATATTGCAAATCCTTGTCGTCGATTGACAATTCAACAGACGTATATGTCATTGAAACAAAGTGATCCCCTGCATTTAGTCTGAGCACATCACAGCAGGTTAAAGTGGATGGAATAGCCAATGAAAAAGGGGATGAAATGTGCTTGGAACTTCTGATATGGTAGCGACTGGGGTCATGATGGCAAGGGAAAAGGCACCTCGACTTCGCCCTCGCTCGGTCGATGGATGGATGGTAGGACAGTTGGGATGGATCAGTGAAGCCATAGCATTTTGATAATGTGATTGAAATTTACTGTACTTCCAAAGAGGTGACAAAGGCTGGTTTGGTAAACTCTGCTAGGTGGTTTTCTTTCTCGTTTTATCGTTTCATCCATTTCGTATCCCACGTATGGCTCGGAAAGTCGCAAGATCTGTTCATAAATTCATCATCATCATCGTCATCATCATCATTATTTGCTTATACGGGGTATTCTTGTAGAGTAGAAATGAGAAACGATCCCTCAAACATCGGATAAGAGAGAAGAAGTTTATCCATGAGAAGATTCTAGATGGAATATGGAGGGAGGACGGACGTTTTTGATTTATTGATCGTCTCGTCAAGGGTGGTCGTATCCGGATTGTCTAATGCAGTTAATAAGTGCCGGTACAATGTTCTGGTAAAGTGATGAGGTCAATGCGAAAATAGAAATTGATGATGCTGTTCAAAGTATAAATATATTATGACTTAGATTGGATGACAGGGTGAGCTGGCTGAGTAACCCACAGTTTGGAAGAGAGAACTTGTCATACTGTGTGACTTTTTAATCAATGGATGAGTGAATGAGTGGAGGAGTGGAGGAGTGGAGGAGTGGAAAGAGTGGAAGAGTGAAAAGAGTGAGTTGAAGTGAGAAAGAATTTGGATTAGAAAACGAATTACGGGATAGGGACGAAACACCCTTGAAAGCTTGGCGCGCTAAGAAATGAAGAGTGGATTGTAAAGTCTTGTAAGCTCCACAAAAATGTTCAGAATGCTCAGAAAGTTCATGCAGGGTGGGAACAGAAAAAGTCTCAAACAAAAAATGACCCCTGATTCGGATTAGTGTTGCATCAGGCTAAACTTATCAAGGCTTAGCCGGGAGATTCGCAACTGCTCAAATTTTGGTTAAAGCAGGTACGGAAATGCTAAAAGCAGGGGTGGCTTCAACTTTTTCTGGTGGAAAGGTGGAAGAGGGGAAGAAAAAGGCATCACGACCCAACATAACAATAATAATATATTCTGGCTTGCTGGTAGATGATTAATAAATGAAGTGAACAGGAGGAGAGGAGAGAAATGGAAAATATGGGAAAAAGAGAAAGAGAGAAATGATCTTGCCGTAGGTACTACTATACTATGAAATTATTATTCACGTAAAATGTATATCGCATATTGATTGATTGTACTGTTCACACAAAATACGTAGATACATACTAGGTACATACCTAGATAACTACTACTCACTCACTTCCAGTGTCATCATTCATCCAAACTTCCCTCACATAGACATACTCCGTAAATATCACCATTATACCATTATACCATTATTCATATTTCTGCCTATTACATTACTCAATACCATCCTTTTTCACCAATTTGCAAACGCACACAATATCTTTATCGATCCTTCCCTTCTTTACACCCCTACTCATAACTTTTCCCATCTTTCTACTACTCTATCTGCCTGCTTACTTGGCGTTTCTGTACCTTCATCAATTCCATCCCTCTATTCTCTCGAAATCTTCTTTTCCCTACCCAGTACTTACCTATCAGCTCTTTGAATAATATTATTCATCCATTCGCGCCTCTGCAGTATCTTTCTTCTACTAATCCTTTCCCCTCCCTCAGATTCAGGAATCGGGCAACGAGCTTCACGACCCATTCATTTCATTTGATGGATAACGACAACGACCCATAAGTTATAACGAACAGAAAGATACACTCCGTACAAAGTTCCACAGTCATACAAACGTACCAGAAATCATCTCCCTTCTCCACTAAAGTATTGATATCTATACATATTATTGCATGCATATCGCATGCGTCGGATATAGCAGCACATATGTCCAGAGGTCCCATACCCATACCAAAATAAAACCCCGTCTTTCGTGTCGAAAACGAAATTGGAGAACCTTTCATATATTCTAGGATCTATTCAACTCCTTGCTAGTCAAGACCATCAATCCCACCTAAAGCCTGAGACTTCTGAAATTTCATTCCTATCTTAGGCTTGGAATCATTGATTCTTCTTTTTGGAATTCTAGGAATACTTTCAATTTACCGGATAATCGAAAGAAATTGGAAATCTTCCGCAATATAGTTTCTACCTCTGATAATCCATTCGGAACGAGGCATATACAGCATATTTATACAATTCGCATGAGCGCTTCAGAAACAGAACATCCTCGGCTTTAATACTGTGCAGATCAAAACAGGGCGGGCGGGTCCTCGCTCGTACCATTCTGGTCTTCCCCCGGGAAGCGGACGTGATTATTCGATCGCCGGCCAACTCCTATTACTGCAGATGCCAATTACCATACTGATCTGACCTGTTGCCATACTGGCCACACTTTTTTTGTACAGTACCGTTTGTGTTTCAATTGTTGTGCATTCTTTGCAGCTTCTCTTTCCTTCGTGAGGCGTCATTCATTGTTTTTCAAGAGTCGCAGAAATTTGCAGCAGGGGGTCTGTTAATCTACTTTACTTGCTTGTTTCAGCTTGCCCACGCTTTGGGGGATCTGTTGCCAAATACCTTATACTTCGAAGTCAGGACGAACTAATTCTTCCTACCAAATTTGACTCGATTGGCCATCTTGACGGTGATTTCTTACGGCCTTCCGTACCCCTCGATGAAGCATTGCAGCTTGACTGCTTGAAGACACACCCGTCGTTGACGACTCGAATCTCAATCCAACCGAGACCTGGCCTTCGATATTTCGTTTCGTCGCTTCGACAGCATCCTTTCAGAGAATTCAATTGATAAACATCTTTTCACTCCTTCTCAGTTGGCTCATAATGTGCCAAGATAAATAACGCAAACGAGGACAAACCCTTTACTATTCGTCGCGTCGATCGGCCTGCCCGACGACCTGAAAAACGCATGAACACGATCACCACCGAGCAAGATAATAATGGCTCTACCAAAACCGAAATATCCTCTGGATGATTCCTGTTCGATACTATACAACAACACACTATACACATACAACAGCGAAGCGTTTCAATCGCTATCGTTGGTTGAAGGAGCGGAATGGACGCAATTACCCCAAGGAGAATCAGTGACTGGAGGAGTTTGCGTAAAGGCGACGCCTGCGAACGGGCAGGATGCATTATATATCGTCGGCGGAACGAGTAGTAATACTACAGATGAATACTCGGGTCTTCAGCGATATACTTTTGATGATGGGAAATGGGAAACTATAACCACTACAGTATTAGTCGCTCAAAATCGATTATGGCACAGTGCTGTCTACTTGAATGCGTCGGACTCCATTCTGATGTATGCAGGAAGTCAAGACGGTACCCAACATCTATCGTCTCAGACTTTCACAATAGCAGCGTCGCCTCCATATAATGTTCTATCATTCGGGCCCGCTGATGGTGCTGTTGCGCCATCTGCCGGCATACAGCCTCTTTTACTCCCATGGTCATCGAGCTCTGCAATCTATATTGGTGGCACTGACACAAATACTGACGTGATGGTATTCGATCCAGCAACATCCTGGGCAAACTCAAACAGTACCCTGGCGTCCCCGATATATAGTACTTCGGCAGTCAAAGCAGTTGTCGTGACGGGTGACGATGGATGTAAGAATCTTTACACCTTCGACATGACTGTGGCACCCAATGTTGTAAACAGAACTGTTTTGGTTGATGGCAGTGGAAATCCAGTGCAAAGTGCGGAAGCCATTGTGTCAACAAGCACCACTAAAGAAACAGCTACTAAAAGAGCTAAGAGGAGTAGTCTTACAGAGGCTGATTGGCCTGCTTATAATGGTACACTAGCTCCGACATCCACAAGGACGAACTATTCTGTCGCGATGAGCGCAGATGGGGAAGTAGTAATATCGGGTGGAAATGAAGATGATGTTCTGTGCATATTCGAAGCGAAAGAAAATGCCTGGGCTGATGCCACATCAATGTTGGTAAAATCTCCAACACAACAAATCATCGTGCCGTCAACATTATCGTCGAGCGCAAGTCCTTCTGTAACTACAAGCTCCTCTATAGCTACAAGTACAGGTAACTCTACCGCCGCTTCAGGTGGATCAACCGATGATGATGCCGACCCGTTTCCATTGAAGGCACTGGCTGCATTGCTGGGCTCTATACTTGGAATCGCTTTCCTGCTCGTTTGTATATTAATTCTCCTCCGATGGCGAAAGAAAAAGAGGGATCTCAAAAATGCACATGCAAATGGATATCCCCTTGAAAAAGATGGGCTAGAGTTTTCGGATAGAGGTCCAGCTGATATGCACTCGTCAATGCCACCGCCGCGGCATGGACAGTCTGCATCCCAGGGCTCATATTCATCAATGGCTATATTAATGGGTCGTGTAGGGCATCGAAGAGGAGATGATAAAGGCAACGGGAGTGCGGGAAGTGGCACGAGCAGTCATTTTGACAAGAACTACGAAGCTGCGATAAGTCATACTACACCACCGGACCAGTCTTTCGCTCAAAGCGCATTGGCAAAAGAGGTGTCATTCGGTCAAGAAACAGTTACGCCACGACCCCGTAATCCTGGGACGCAGAGACGAGGCAGTACAAGGAGATCGTCAGGCTGGAACCGATATTGGTCTGGTGGAAGTGCAATGACAAGTTTCCTGGGATTTGGCGAGTCGAAACGAAACACGTCCAATGGTGACGACGAAGCCACCTCACAGTACTCCGATCCAAGGCTACCAACTCAGGCCAATACTCAAAGACGTCCAAGCCAAATTACTACAGCATCCTCTCTAGTGCCTCCTTTAAAAATTCCCATTCCGGGAGATACTCCACTATACCGAGTAGCAACTAATAGTCCTACTGTATCTACGGCTGGATCTCATTTTCCTATGGCAGCAGAAATGTCTGGCAAGATTGAAGGCCTTCGGCCGGACTCTTACCTCAGCAATACTTCATCTTATGATGATAAATCTGATGCATACTCCAGCGGTGTTCCGGAGAGTGTAAAGGATCCAGAATCATGGGCCATGGGCCATCAAGATCCGTCTCGCAACAGGCCAAGCAATGGCTACTCCGTGAGTGTATATACCACAAACAGAGATACTGCGGGGGGTGATAACTTTTCACTTCAAGTACCTCAACCACCACCACCTGTTCAACAACAGAGCCAACCCTCAATCCCTTCAGACATGAGCTGGCTGAACCTTGGTACCAAAACTCGAATATGATACCCCACTTTTCTGTACTGTAATATCGCATTCCAAACTGTCACCATATGTTCTTATCTTTCCTTCATTGATATTAGCGTCACTGCATTTTCATGTCTTGTCTACAATATCCTGTATTGTTGCACATGCTAGGTTTTTTGCTTGCGCGGCGTGGAATTGGGTCATTCTTGATATAAAATCCGACATCTCGGCCCGCGCGTCTGGCGTTTTTCCTTTCTACATTTTTCTGGACTTGCTTCCACAAAATTCCCTCTCATGTTCTCCTTACTCGAATTCAACCGACTTTTGTTTTTTGATAACAATACTGCTACTACTTTTCCTTGTTGGCGAAAACCGATGTCATAGTATGACATTGTACTTTACTGTACTAGACCTTGATCTTGCATGATCGGGAGTTATAACTCTTTTCTTTGAATAATTTGGGGGTGACTGGGAGCTTGTACCTTACCATGTAGTGCGGATATCTTTGAAGGAGGTGTGGTAGAGATATTACGTTATGGTATGGGCATGTATTGCGTTGGATATAATGGCTTAAATTTTGAGGAGAGCTGATGTGTTGTCCCAGAGGCCTATGGATAGGGGGCAGAAAGTGGCTATGTAAGTTAGATTCTTATTTTTGTGTTACAACCA